TACGTGACCCAGGAAGTCAGGAAGGACACAGGAAGGAGGCGTCTGGGGTTGACGTTGCATTTAGGGAGGGCACTAAGCAAAGGGAACTCGTCCTCTGCCATCCCACTCCCACGTGGCACAGCCCCCTGCCTCAGGAGCACGTACTCCGGCTACTTCCTTGTATTCTGTTCCTTCCCCAGCTTATCAGCTCCAATAGCACTGCCCACTGCCTCAGGAGCGTGAGCTCCGGTTACTTCTCCGTATCCAGCCCATCCCAGTTCACCACAACTCCGCCTAGCACAGCCCCTGCCTCGGAAGCGTGAGCTCCGGTTACTTCCTAATACCCAGTTCCTACCCCATCTTGCCACAACCCTCACTTGGCAGTAGCCAACATCAGACAGTCCCTCACAGGCCTGGATCTGTGTTTTTAAATTTTTTGTACTCACAGCACTTCGCATAGTGCCTTGCACTTAAATGTTCCTTGAATTGAACTGACTCCCAGAAACTTAGCGGGTACAGCAAGGGTAAATCCTTCTTCCCTATGGACACTCACCAGTCACACGATGTTACTGGCTTCTGATCAGCACTGGCACATGTGGACAGCTCCTGCCTCTATGTAGCCCAAACCACTGGTTAAAGTTCCAAGAGTCTTCAAAAATCCTACTATCACAGAATTGTAGAACTGTAAGGGCTGCTTGAAGATAAATTAAAGCCCAAATGACTTTACCAATGTGACACAGCTAGCAGAAGCTCAGACAGAATCTAGGACTCCTAATTCTCAATCCAGTGCTTCTTCCCCTCAAAAGAGAAAGTGAGCCCCAAGTCTTAGAATACCATGAACAAACCCAGACACGTGAATCTTATGAGAGTTAGAGAGAGAGAGTTTTGAATGAGGTTATTATACTAGAAAGGGAAGGAAAGAACATAGATAAAATAAGGCTATGAATAGAGGACAAATTGGTAGGGATTAGTGTTGCTCAAAGAATCCCATCAAGTGAAGATGTGGATCCTGCTAGATGAAACAGGAGTACTTAATCCTTTCATAAATCCATTCTGGTCTTGGAGATTATTCTTCCTGTGAGGACATGAAAACCCTGCCCCTGATCACACCTACAAGTGGTATAAGTAACAAGGCTGCAGCATGCTCACAAGACAATTGCTGCAAGAGAACTGGCGTAAAAGACATTCTGAAGGCCAAAAGCATCACAGGATGACAAAGGCTTTGGCCATGGTGCCAAAATTTAGAGGGTGCTGACTTTACAATGTAGCAGCACCTAATTAACAAGAATAATTAGTTAAAACAGGAAGCTATCAGGTGGCAAGTGATCCCTGCCCCTTGTGCCATACTGTGTTGGAGAAGCCTCACTGTGTCTTGACCTTCTGTCTCCCATTCCTAAACACAACTGAACTAGTGATTTGGGTACACCTTTCATGTTTGCTCAGTTCATTTTGTGACCCTTGCTCAAATGAGAAAAATATCAGTTACATCTCAGCTAATCCCTTCTCTGATGGTTTGCTGTGACAAAGCCAAAATTGGCATCTTAATCAGATTTACAATTTAGCTTTTGTAGTCTACAACTATAGAATCTATGCATGCATTTAATACCAATATGTAATAATTCTTTGTAACAGCAACTTTATTCTCTTCTTATGAAATTTCTTCTTTGTACTGACCTTGGGTAAGACATTTGATCTATTGCTCAGTTCCCTCATCTGTACAATGAGATTAGATTTGATGGCTTATAAGGTCCTTTTCAGCTCTAAATCTATGATCCTATGAAGATTCCTAAGAACATACAGCTTCCCTTCTTTGACCTGTATATGAGCTAATAATTATGTATGAGTGGGCATTCTGAAGGGGAGGCCATAACTATTTAACTTTTGTATTCACAAAGGAATGGTCATACACTTATTTCACTTCTTATTACAAATGTTACCTACTTATGATGTACACAGTGCCTAGTTCTAAAAGGATTTAAGGTGGCTATAACACTGTTTAATGTGCTGGTCCACACATTCCATTCAAGGAGCATTTATGAAGTACCTAAGTGTCAGGCTTGGTGCTAGGCAAAAATGAAGTCTGCCCTAGAGGAGCTTTACATTTTGGTGTGGGTAAACATAAATATGAAATGTAAACAAAGCAAATATAAAACCATTTGGGGGAGGGGAGGAGAGCGCTAATAACTGGGGAAGAATCACAAAGTCATTCCCCACAACAGACAAGCACAGTCCAGCTCCCACTTATGCTGTGCCTTTCTCTTTGTTTTAAACAGTAGCTCTGGCCCTGAGAACTTGGTAGCTCAGGCCTGAGGAATTATTTAAAATTAAAATTATTAAATTAGTTTAGAATTATTAAAAAATGGATTTTGTTTAACTTCATTGAGCCTAGATTATTAGCTCTGTGCAGGAAAGGACCGTATCTTATTTATCATAGGTAGAAGGGTGGAAGGTACATATTTTTGTATCTTCCTCTCTGCCTTCTATAATGTAACACACAGTAGGTGCTCTATACATTTGTTGAACAAATGGAATACAAATGGGGGGGGATGAAAAAATTGGAGGAGAAGCCACTTTCCCCTCATTTTTTGGTGGGAAACCCCCAAAAGTACTCAGGTAAAAGCTTTTTGAATATTTTTCCAATTAGCTTTTTTCTCGATGGGCCTTTGCATCTGTAAGGCTCCAGTTGCCTGTGCTTGATCTCTGCTTGAGCTCAGGCTTGCCCATTAGGGAGGATGAAGGTGAATCCTTCTCCTTGAACGTAAGCTCCTTGAGGACAGGGTTTGTTTTCTACTTTTTGTCTTTGTGTTCCCAGTGTCTGGCACAATTCCTGGCATGCATGTTGAATTGAATTTGTTGCTACCACGATTAAGTCCATACCATCCATACCCCTTCTACCTCTGCCTCTGCTCAGCCTTCAATTCTAGGCCTTACTGCTCTTGGCTCTAGACCATGGCCTAGGTGCATCACATTGGACTGAACCAACTCTAATACCTGGAACGTCCACCACTCAGGATCTTTCTTTTGGACCCTGACTCAAGGTGGGAGTGGGGTGGGGGGGTGGGGTGGTTGTGATACAAACTTCCATTAATTTCTCCCACTTGTCAACTCAATAAAATGTTATGTTGTGTATCACTCTGAAGTCTGCCCATAGCAAGTGAATTAATAACAGAACTTCCTGTTAGAATTATACTATCCCACTAGAAGTGAAAAGGTGTGGAGGTGGGAATCTTACTCACTGTTTACTGCCCTAGAAGGTAAAGTCCATTCTCCACTGCAGTCACCACACAGTCTGGGAGACAGGGAGTAGGTAAGTAGGGAGAGCGGGGAATATTTTCAATGGCATCCACAGAGCTGCCATTGTGGCTGTAAGTGTAGTGTGCTTAGGTTATGACAATTCTGAAGGGCTATTGCTGGGCTCTGAAGGGGAGAGGTGGAAGCTAACCAACTGGAGAGACTGAAGTGGGAATGTTAGGGGACAAGGGTGGGTACAATGTGTTAGAGATAAACCTCACTGGCTATTGCTGGGTGGGTGAGAGGATCTATCTTCCCACTCCCTAGATGATTACACATCCCTTTGGGTTAGGGCATTGATCCTCTGGGATCAAGCCCTGACCCCTACTTTAGAGACCATTGCTCTAGACTTCCAATATCTTTTTGGACTCTGCCATGTTGACACTGATAAAAGAAGGGTAAGGTATGTCACTGTGGGTATGGGCAAGGTATATCTAGTGAAGATATTCTAAGGATACTACTTAATTACTTCTGGGCACCCGGACAAACTTTTTTTTTTATTTGAAACAACTAACCCACCTGCTTCTCTTTCCACTGCCCCCCTCCCCTTCACTGGGACCAGGTTTTCTCTCCTTGGTCTACTTCATAACAGAACAAAGCTTCACTACTTCTCCTTTGCTTTTTTCTGAAGCAAAGAGCTTTTTATCAAGGGTTTCAATGCTGGATGGATAGAGCCTCAACCCTCTTATTCTCCTCTCCTCCTTTTTCTTTTTTCCATTTAGTCTTCATAGGGAACATTGTAAACTCCCAAGTTCATGTTTGGTATGATCTGGAAGCAGAGCCTTTATCCATCAGAGCCTGGATGCTTCTCAGAGCGGAACTGGGGTAGCTGGAATAATGGACAGTGCTCTGGACTTAGGAAGATCTGGGTTCAGATCCTGTCTTGGGCACTTACTGACTGTGTTGCTGCTGGACTAGTCATCTGACCTCTCAGACTCAGTTTCCTCATTTTTAAAATGGGGATAATGGCACCTCCTTGACAGGGCTGATTGAATGACAATGGATATAGAGCAGTACACAGATCTCAGGGAGGCCATGTGGTACAATGGAAAAAGAAATGGCAATTCTAGAGTCAGAGACTCTAGGCTTGGGTCCCTCCTCTGACCCCTGTTACTGCTGTGGCCTTGGATGAGTCAGTTACCCTCCCCGGGCCTCAGTCTCCTCACCTGTAAAATGAGGAGGTGAACTCAAGGGCCTTTGAGGTTCTTTCCAACTCTAAATCTGTGAGCCCTGACACCCTGATACTGCCAACAGGGAATGAGGAAGGGGGTGAGGTACCCTTAGCAACTGGTTTACTCGCAATCACAGAAAATACACGAGCCACTTGATGCACAGCAATTTCCTTGGTTTTCCCCCAGCCCTGGCCACCCTTTGCTTCTTTCTTCCTTAAACTGCTTTGTGTAGGCACGATGCTGACTCCCTCCCTGACCACCTCCCCACTGCTAATTCACGTCAGTGCCAAGCCCCACCAGGGAGGGACCCTGACAAAACATACGAAGGCTTACAGTCTGTGATGGGGGTCAGAAGGGAAAGCAGGGAGGAAAGGAGGGTGGGGACTCAAGACTAACCTTAGGCTCTTCTCATTTCATCTAATCGTCCTAGATTACTCAGTTAATGGAAAAACATTTCTTCATCCCTCTCCCAGCTGCTAAGATAAAAAAGACTTGATGGTTTGAGAACACAGACCAGGGGTCTGGAAGACACCCAAAACATAATGGAATCCAAGTTCATTTTACAGTTGAAGAAACAGGCCCCAAAGGGTGTTTATTGCCTTTTGTCATTCCATTAAGCTACAGCCCAGAAAATGAAAAAGGAAACCAAATAGAGCAAATATACTCACCATCCTCCACAATTCTCAGCCCAGGTGAGGACAGCTGAAATTGGTATCGTGCTTTGAGGAAACTGAGGCTGAGAGAGATTCAGTGACTTGCCCAGAGCCACACAGCTTCTATGTGTCTGAGGCAGGATTTGAACTCAGGTCTCCCTCTATGCCACCTACCTGCCCCATTCTCTACACACGATTCTTGTTGGCCTTAGTCCATCTATAACCACATCTCTGTCTTCACCATTGGAAATGCAGTTTCGGGGCTGGACTTGGAGCCCTGGGAAGTCCACAAAGGGCACAGAGCTGTTCTTTGGCTGTTCTGTGCTGGTGGAGGATCGTGGTCCCTGGCCCCTGCCCACGGGTAGAGCAATTCCTCCACCTGGGGCCTTGAAACAGGTAGCCCCAACCAGCCATTCTGGCCCGGGGGGCTCCATGTGGAACTCTCCCTGGTCAGACTTGACAGATGGCCCAGGAAGTCTGGTGGGCATCCTGGAGGCTTCTCCATTTTCCTGGTGTGCCTCTGTTGGTGTCTGATGAAACTCCTCTTCAACATAAAGCTGTGGCCACACTGAGCGCAATGGAAGGGCTTTTCCCCTGTGTGCAACCGTTGGTGGTTCAGCAGGTACTCCTTCCGGCTATAGCACTTCTCACACTCAGGACACTGGAAGGGGCGCTCCCCTGTGTGCAGGGTACGGTGCCGTTTGAGCCAGGAGTAACACACAAAACTTTTGTCACACTCGGGGCACTGGTAGGGCTGCGGTGGGGGGTGGCCCTGTGGGTGTCTGCCCAGGCCTCGCCTCCCCGAGCATCGCTTTCCCCGCTCAGCACAGGCATGCAGTCGTGTACGGGACAGGAGAGGTGCCCTCTGTCGGGAGTTCTTGGCCGGGGAGGTGCCAGGGAAAGACCTGTCTCCTGGGGGCTCCCACGGCACAGCTGCTCTGGGGCCCTGCTGCCCACTGCTCCTCTGTGTCTCCATGGGCTCCTGCCTGTGGCTCCTCTGATGCTTCATCAAGTTCTCTCTCAGCCGGAAGCTCTTACCGCATTCAGCACAGGTATGCGGTTGCTCTCTGGCTGGGGAGGTCCACCAGGTGGCCATCTGAGGCAGCACAGGGCCTGGCTGTGGGGCCTGCCCTGGGCCTGGGCTTGGAAGCAGGGGCTGTTGCTGCTGGAAGCCGTTTGGGGTGTCAGGGCCTGAGCTGAAACCTGAGGCAGGGAGAAGTCCTTCTGTGATTCCTCTGGACAGTGGCTCTAGGAGCATTAGACTCTCCATGGTGTCCTTCACTGTACTCATGGCCCAATGAGCCTCTGCAACAGGAGAAAGCACATGATGTCACTCACCTGAACTAGCTGGAGCACAGCCCTAACAAACAGAGGCCTTTCTTACACAAGGCTTGATAGTTTTCTTTTTTAAAAAGTAAGTTTTTATTGAAGTGTTATTTTTTATGTCATCAGAAATTCTTTCAGCTTCCCATCCCAATCACTCATACAGTAATACAACAATAGTCTACCTAGGAAACCAAAGCACAGGGAGGTTAATTTGCTAACTTGTCACTCCCTTGCTCAGAGAGCTTTGTTGCTTCTAGAATAAAACAGACTTCTCTGCAAAAGAATTCAAAGCTCTTTACAACCTATCTCCAGCCAGAGAAGGTAATGTGGTATAGTGCTTAGAGCACTGGACATGGCATCTGAAGACCTGGGTTCAAATTCTGCCTCAGATACTTTCTAAGTGGGCATCCCTGGGCAAGTCACTTAACTTCTGAGCCTCAGTTTCCCCATTTGTAAAATGGAGATAATAATAATGAACAATGCCTACCTTATAAGATTGTTGCGAGGATAAAATGAGATAACATCTTACTTGATGCACTTTGCAAACCTTAAAAAAGCACTCCGTAAATGATTCCTGTCCACATGCTTTATGGTACAGTGGAGGCAGCTACTTTCTGTTCCTCATACATGACAGTTTGGGTCTCCCTGCGTCTGCCCCCACCCTGTGACTGGAACTCACTCCCTCTTCTACTCTGACCTTCCAAATGTCTGACTTCCTTCAAAGCTCAGCTCAAGTGCTACCCCCTTACAGAAGGTTTGTCCTAATAACCCAGCTGCAAGGGCCCCTCCCAACTTAACCGACATTGTACCTGTGCTTGGTGTTTCCTGGGATGAAATGTAAACTCCCTGGAAGCAGCCAGGGCTGGCCTGGTTTTTGTCTTTGCAACCCCAGTGCCTGGGGTAGAGCAGGGCTTATTAACACTTGTTGATGGATTCATATCAGGTAACTGATCAGAAAAGGTCAATCCCTGGTTAGTTTTATCAGCAAGCCAGGCATACAGAGTGAGGGTGTTGCCAGGCTCAGTTTGTGCCTTTTTTTCTTTTTTCAAGTTGCAAAGTTCACCAAGCCACTTAAGCACCAACCACCTCCAGGCAGGGGAGATTCCATCACTTCTTTTAGGGCCTAGAGATGCAAAGAGTCCATCAGGAGCCCAGTAGTTGCTTTACTGAGTTTCGGTCCATCAACAAACACTAATCAAGCACCAGCTTTCAAGAGGCTTACGTTCTGGGGTGGGGGGGGGGAAGGAATTAGTGATCTAATGCCAGAAGAGGGGCCAGAGAAGGCATCAGGATCAGTCTGACTTGTTCTACCTGTTGCCAATCCTAAAGACATTCTTCTCTCTTAGCACCATTTATGGCGTTTTTATTCACAAATTTTGGATCTATTTGTATCTATTATATCTGAAAGGCTCCTGTTTTCATGCATAGTCTAAGTTTATTACCCACTGCAGTTCTTTACCCTCTATAACCCGATTTCTTCTTGTTGCAGTAGCGGCCAAAGAGATTTTCTTAAAGCCCAGAATGTCTGTCCCAGCGCACCCGGCTCCTGCCTCCACTCCCCAGTGGTCCCCAGTGGTTCCTGAGCAACTTCATCATTAAATATAAAATCCTGCTTGGCACTTAAAGCCCTTCACAACTTGGCACTTTCCCTCTATTTCAGTCTTCCTGCACTCTATTCCCTTCACATCCTTTGAGGCAGGGAGCAGGGCTAGCTTGGCTTCCCCAGGGCTTAGCACAGGGCATGGTACATAGTAAGCACTTAAAAAAAGTTTGCTGTCAAACTTGTTCTATGCTCAGTGGATCCCACCCTCTGCAGATGAACCCTTCCAATCAATTCATCCCCTTGTGGGACAGTACACGTTCAATCCATGGCCAAAGGCTGCTTTCTGGATTCTGATTCGTCACCTTGCAGGTGCTCGGGCTTGCAATGTGCTATAAACCCCTCCCCACATCTTAGAATATATATCCTATGGAGAAGGAGTCAGCAGCAGCCACAGGTTCTTTTTACCTTTACTTCTTAAGATATTATATTTATGAAAATTGTTGCTATTTCCAATACTTAAAAACTGGGAAATATAAGAGTGCCCCTTCCTTCAAGCCTCTTCTGGAAGATGGTCAAGCCATACTGACGGTACACTTGAGCAGCCATCAGGAAAAATACTGTTCCGAGTTCCTCTGTCCTCATGCAGCCACCCAGTTCAGATAATGCTTCAGAATGTTTCAAGGACTTTCTTTACAACAACCCAGTGAGGTAGGTAGTACAGACATTATTATCCCCGGTTTACAGAAAAGAAAGAGTTGAACTGACTTGTGCTGTCACAGATGAAAATGCCTCAGTGCTAAGATTCAAAACTCTCTGGAGCCCACGTCCACAATACCACACTTTCCATGTGATGAATGAGTGAAAAGAAGCATTTATTAATCGCTTACTATGTGCTAAACACTGTGCAAAGTGCTGGAGATGCAGAAAGAATGAGACAGTCACTGATAGAGGAGCTCACACCCGGAGACAGAACATACGTGGCAATTCCGCTGTAGGGCAGATAGAAGGGCCCCTGGGGGGGGCCTCAGGGAAGAAATGAAAAATCAGCTCTCAAAACCAAGTGAGCTCTGGTTCCTGCATTTGAGATGTCAGACCACTGTTACCAGAAGCCACCAGTAGTGTAGTCTTACTATGCCCAACTTGGCCCTTCAGACCTAGAAAAGGCTCAATTTTTCTTACTCACCTTTGTTCAGGTCTGCAACAGGGACACTTCCCTCTCTGTCTTCCTGATCCCTGGGTCCTTGCTCTTCTTGCTTAACACATGGTTGCACATCATTAGTAGAAATTGGAGGCCCTGTCCCTGGGAAGGGAGATCACATTCAATGTTTCTGGCAGCCAGTGACCACTCCATTACAGATCTCACAATGGAGAGCAGGAAGTTGGAAAAGAAAGAAAAAATCTCAAAGCTGAGTCAGCTGAGAAGATATTAGGGATTGTTAAAACAGCACGTCAGTGAAAAGAGCTCCTGAAGAGAATAAAAAACCCGCCCCCAAACCCAGAGTTTTCTGCGTCATTAAGTGAAGCTTTGGCCTTGAAAGTTCAGAGCGGTAAGACTCACCAGGATCAGGGCTTGCTGCTACTTCTGCCTCTTCTGAGTCCAACTGATTCTGAACACATGGTTCTTCCCCTTGTTCAATTCGGGTCAAAAATTCAGGTTTGGAAAGAGCATAGTCTGTTTGATGGAGAAACAGAGAGAGGGACACCATTACTAATGTGCTTTCCTGTTTCCATTTTTGGTATCTCGTAAGAAATGCCCAAGGAGTAATACTCATGGCTCCTGTAGCCTAGCAACTGTCTCCAGCTGGACCAAGATATCATCTCTAAAGACTGGGAATATGTTGCTAAATATCACTACCTTCCCTTACAATATGATAGTCCTACTGTCTCTGACTTTTGTCATTGAGCCCGTGCCATTCGGAGGGTAATCTTTTTTTTTTTTTTTTACCACTCATGATGTAAAGGAGCATTTAACTTTATTTAACTTCATAAGATCTGCCATCTTGGTGTGGGCACTTCCTTCACCAGTGCAGACTGCAGGGGGTTTTGCATGCTGCTTTGGCCAAAAAATCATATTCAAGTGGTAGCCAGTCTTCCGCAGCACAACTAGGCAGCAGAGTGGATAGAGTGCAGGACTTAAAAATCAGGACGACCTGGGTTCAAATCTGCCTCGGACACTTACTAGTTTTGTGGGCAAGTCACTTAACTTTTATGTGCCTCGGGTTCCCCCTCTGTAAAAAGGGATAATAATAGCACCTACTTCATAGGGTTGTTGTGAGGATCAAATTCGTTAATATATGTAAGTACTTTGCAAACCTTAAAGCATTATATAAATACTAGCTATTATCGATACTATCTGTTATCATCATTCAGGTGATAAGCCTGTATAAACCGAGTTAAACTCAGGTAGGTCATTCTTTGGACAAAAGTTTGTGTCCTGGCCTGGAAAGGCCAGTCTTGGAAGGCTTTCCAGGTCAGCAGAGAAGGCTTGCCAGAGCCAGTGTCCCTTCCCCTCCCTTGGAGGCTGCAGGGGGCTTCTAGAAGGAAGGTCCTAGGGTATAACTTAGAGGAGGTGAGGGGAAGGAAGAGCTCATCCAGATGACTTTCTAGCTTCGAGAGGCCTCTTTTGGCTGCAGGTATCACCATTCACTTTCCAGCTTCCACCTGGCTCTTCTTCTCCCTTCCCTTTCCCTTGGGGAATCCCCAACTTCAGTTCTTGGCCCATTGTCCCTCTCTCAGCCCCCCAAGAGGCTCATCTATCTACATATCCCTTGATGGGGGTCCCCCTTACTTCCTCAAGGCTGTCCACAGGACATGGACGGGACGAGACGAGATGTTCCATCAATTAGGGAGATACTCAGACAGAGGCTGTACAATTGACTGGACCACATGTGGCACTCGAGTCGCACATTAAATGTAATTTAATGAAATTTAAAACCATATTCAACATAATTGGGAAATGTTTAACAAAATAAGCAAAAACACAACACAACACAGACCCTGTGGCCAAATAATCAGTATGTTTCAGAGGCAGAACTTAAAGCTAGGTCTTTCTGGCCACCACCCCACACTGCCTCTTTATTTATATTGTTGCATTGCCTTTAATGGTAAATTTCCGTGACTTTTTTTTAATCAGTGACTTTAATTTATTTTCATTTAATCAATATTTAATGAACACTAAGGATGTATAAGGTCCTGAGTGAATTATTGTCAGACGTTTAGTTCTCTCTTCTTCCTTCCTTCCACTGCAACATAGCCCCCCATCCCAAACCCACCCCCAACTCCAACACAGCCAGCCCAATATTATGTCAATACTTCCAGGGGTGGGGAACCTCAACATGATTATCCAATGAAGGGATCACTCCATTCAGTTTTTCCTAAACTTCCTTCTTTTTAAATTTTTCTAAAGTTTTATTTATTTTTTCCCCCCTAAACTTTCTAGCTCCCCTTGGGATACAAAATTTTCCATGGCTTCCCTGCCCACTAGTTCTATGGTCACTGAAAAAGCACCTACATCAGAATTAATAAGGAGAACAGTCTCTTTTGCCGTGACCCTTGTGATGTAACCAATGACTGCCGATGACAAAACATCACAATGTCACCTGGCAAACCCACCTGAAAAGGCTGTGAGATCACAGATCACGTTGAAAAAGTTTAAAACTGGGTACCAACAGCAGGTAATCCTGTTAGGAGGAAAACTAGATGCCCTCTATCTGAATCCACAAAAGGTCTTGATAAAATAAGTATGATATAACTAATGATAACAGAGCAAGAGTAGAACCTAACCTGGGAGACAGCTTATGAAATCAAGCTAATTTTAACGAACACAGATATACTCTGTTGGACTTAGTTTGGTTTTCTCAGTGCGCCTCTTACTGAGCTGCCTATGCAGATTCATTAGTTGGAAGAATTAATTTCAAAACAACCATAATCCTTAGAGCTATGTCCACACATGCCTTCTGGAAATGGAAGCCTCTAGAAGTCATGAAGGATGGATGACTCTTTCAGTAAATGCTGTATAAGGTACAGAATAATGCCTTACTGCTGGTTATAAGTTCTATGACCAGCATCACACATGCACAGAGGGTGAGTCTGGGTCTGAAATTTTTTAGCCAGCATCCTAAGCCCTGGGCAGGGTCAGACCCCAAGCATTATTCACACTTTCAATGGATCGATCCTGCTTCAAAGTCTCTTTTATACAGTAACATGAAACGAAGATTTCTATGTCCGTACCCTAGAATTCTTGTGGGATCCTTGTTTGACTACAGTGCGTTGTTCTCGAGCCGCTACCACTTGCTACATCGCCCCTGCACAGAATGCTAATGGGGAGGGAATGAGGGGAAAGGGGCATGTGACTCTAAGGTTTTCCTCTCCAAATTCTGAATTAAATACCCCGTAGGGAGCTGATGAGATCTGGACTCCACCATGGAACAGCCAGAGCTGCCAACACTCAAAGGGTCTAGGATGTCCATACTGCAGGGAACTCCTGGCGTTGTAACCGCCAACAAAGACTGTCACTCATCTATGACTCGACAGAGTTAAATCCCCAGGAGTAGCCAGCCTGAGCTACATGGAGTTTAAATGACTTGTCCTGAGTCGGACTACTAGGAGCTGTTGGGGACAGTATCTGAATACAGGTCTTCCTGACTCCAAGGCTAGCACTTCATATATCACACCATACTACCTCTACAGTCTTCTAACAAATGATTAAAAAGGAAACCCATACCCAAGGAGACAAGCATCTCATAGTTGCCTGTCATCACGTGCTTGTAAAGCTCTTTCTGCCACTTGTCCAGGTTCCCCCACTCCTTCTCTGAGAAATATACAGCCACGTCGTCAAATGTCACAGGTACCTGAAACCACAAACACCCCACACATTATCTCTGGAGAGATGCATCATCTCACCTTTGCCCTGTCCATGCTATTCCTACCCTCTTCCACCTAAAATTCCTACCTTCCACATTTCTTGTCTACCAGTTATATCCCCTCTACTTAGGGGGTTCTTAACTTGGGTTTTAATGGATCCCCAAGGGGCCTCTGGATAGAGTTCAAGAAGTCCATGAATTTGCTTTATAAATTATTTTGATTACCATTTCAATATAATTGGTTTTCTTTGTAGTCCTTTGCAGTCCTCTGTATGTTATTTTATGCATTTAAAAACATCATTTGGAGAAGGGGTCCATGATGCCAGAAAGATGAAAAAACCCAACTCTACTTCAAGCTCACTTCCTCTGCGATGTCTTTCTCGATCACTTCAATTCTCTTCAGATTCTCCTTATTGTTCAGTTAAGATCGCTAATAGCCAACTTAATTTCCAGTAGCTCTGAATAATTCTGTATTGCGTCCTTGACGAGAGTACACAGCCTTCTCCACTAAAACACAAGTTTCTCAAGGAGCTATACCCACTAAATTCATTCATTCAATTCAATGAACAATTATTAAGCACTAGTGCTTGTGCCAGGTGCTCTACATCCTGCCTATCCCCCCTGGAGAACTGACACAGAGAGACAGCTGCTCAACGTGGTTTCCTCCTGGGCTCTAGGCTATTCTAACCAGAGTCAGTTTACTAAGGTAGTAAAATTGCTATGTCTATTGTCAAGAAACAATCTTTTGAAAATACATATTTGTATCAAATATTTCCTCTAAAAGTTCAATATCTATTCTCCAAGTCGCTAATAAGAGAAATTAGAATTAAAACAGCTCTGAAGTTTCATCTCACACCCATCAAATTAACAGAGAGAATAATAAGGAGATGGAAATCGAAATCATCAGTGCTAGAGGGACTCTGGGAAGGCAGAACACCAATACATTGTTAGTGGAGTTTGGAATTGGCCAAGCCCCTCTGGAAAACAATTTGTAATTATGTGAGCAAAGTTACTAAACTCTCCATATCCTTTGATCATATCCTAGGATCACAGATCTCGAGTTGGAAAGGACCTCAGAAGCTGCCTCTTCTGACCCCTTCACTTTACAGATGAAGAAATGAAAACATTAAGAAATGCCACATAAATACCAAAATACTCATAGCAGCACTTGTTGTGGTAGCAAAACACTGAAACAAAGGGCCGGACTGCCTGCTGATTGGGGAACAGCTGAATGTGCATGAACATAATGGAATAAAATTGTGCTGTAAGGAATGAGGAAAGTGAGGAATTCAAAGAAACTGTGGGAGGGATATTATAAATAATAACAACAGCCTGCATTTTTCTAGTGTTCTGAGGTTTGCAAAGCTCTTTACATTTTGTTTTATCTTCACAACAGCCCTGGGAGGTGGGTGCTAGCATTATACCCATTTTGCAGATGAGGAAACCGAGGCCGACTAAATGGGGATTTGAATTCAGGTCTTCCTAATTCCAGGTCCAGTGCTCTATTCACAGAGCTACCTAGCTGCCTCACATATGGTGCAGGGAGAAGAAAAGAGAACCAAGAGAATGTATGTATGTATGTATGTATGTATGTGTACGCACACACGCACCCCACAATCATGTAAAGGAACCCAGTGGCAGAGTGCAGTCCTGGCACAGGACATCTGTCGGTTTGGGGTGCTCTTTCCTCTGGGTTACAAGGGGAGGGTGCTCAGGCGGGGTGGCTGGTGCAAGAACCCCAAAAGCCTCAATCAGGCACTGGGGCGCACCAAGGGGTGCGTACCTTGGGGACTTCTCCTCGGCAGCCCGGCGGGAGCCGGAGGATCCAGAAGTTGCGGTTTCTCAGCAGGTTCTCCATGTTCTCCAGCCTCCTCTGGAGCAGCCCGTACTCCTGGAGCACCGTCTCCAGCGTGGCCCACTTGCTGTCCAGCTGGTTCCCAAACTCCACCGCCGTCTTCTCACAGTCGATTAACTTCTTCTCCACGGCCCCCGTCCGGCCCTCCAGGGTCATTAGCCGGCTGGCATGGGAACAGATGGTCCTCTCCACCGCCTGCATGGCCGCCACCACGGGCCACAGGGAAAACTCCGAGGCCTGGAAGGGGACGTCCGGCTGGAGGCCCCGGAAAGGCGCGCCCACGTCCCACTGTGGAGCCTGCGGGGAGGAGAGGGGCTGGGCAACGCGCACCCAAGACGAGGTACCCCAGCGCCCTCCCCCTCCCCCCCTCCGCTCCCCTGCTGCCCCGCTCGGGAGGCCCAGGCTCCCGGCTGAAAGCCGGAGGGACTGCCCTTCGAGGTCGCACTGGAGAGCCCAGCCTCGTGGGCTGAGTGAGTGCACGCAGCCCGCGCGTGCTCTTTCCACCCCCCCGTCCCCCTCCCCCAACCCCCGTGAGTGGGCTGACCCCGGGGCGCCCCGCCCCCAACCCGGGAGGTTCTTACCTGAGCAGGCGCGGTCTCGGCCATGGTCAGCCCGCTCCCTTCCCTGGACCCCCACCTCGGCTCGGCTCAGCGGAGCCCCCCGGGCAGCGAGGGTAGGTGCCGCGCCAGGGGGCGGGCCCCGGGGAGCCCAGACTGCGCTCCGCGCTGCTGGAGGCCGAGTGGGCCCGTGCCAGCTCCGGGCTCCCCGTGCCCAGCTCCGGGCTCCCCGTGCCCAGCTCCGAGCTGCTGCTTCCTCGGGGTTGTAGCAGCGTTGTTTCCTGTAGCCTCCCGGAAGACAGCGGCTCCTACAGATGGGAGGAGCAAAGGTGGCTGGGGCGCTTCTCGTCCAGGACCGCCCGCCCCCAGGACCCTGGAACCACCCTTCCACCTCCGGCAGATTGGCACCCCTGCTACCCAATCTGGCCCTTTCACCTTCTTTCTGGACTCTGTGGGCAGGCTGTAAACCAGGCTGGTCTGGAGCCTGGGGACTCGGCCCGAGAAGTCGAATGCATGCTTCCTTCCTTGCCATATAGTCTTCCCCGTCCTTTCCTCTCACTCTCTTAACTCTCTACAACTCAGCTTCTGATATCATTTAACCAAAGCTCCCTTCTCCAAAGTTACTTAATGATCTCTTAATTGCAAAACTAATAAACTTTCCTCGCTCCACATTCTTCTTGACCTCTCTGAAGCCTTTGACACTGTTTATCATCCTCTGCTCCTGAGTTTTCACATTCACACAATCTCCTGGTTCTCCTCCTACCTATCTGAACAGTCTCCTTTGCTGGATCTGCATCCTGTCACACCAGCTAACCTTTAGGGTCCCACAGGTCTCTGACCCCTTTTTCTCTTCTCCCTCTATATTATTTCCACTTAGTGATCTTATCAACTTTAATGGATTCAATTATCATCTCTAAGCTGATGATTCTCAAATCTACTAGCCCTAACCTCTCTGCTGACCTTCAGTCTCCCATCTTCAAATGCCTATTGTATATCTCAAACTGTCCTGTAGATGAATAAAACTCAACATACCCCGAACTGAACTCATTATTTCTGCCCCCCAAATTCTCCCCTCTTCCCAACTTCCATACTACTATCCAGGATACTACCATCTTCCCCATCACCTAGGCTCACAATCTGTGTAATCCTCAACATCTCATCCTGTCTCACCGACATATCCCATTTGTAGCCAAGGCCTGTCTGTTTCCTAATGTCTCTCATGTACACCCCCTTCTCTCATACGATACTATCTCACACCTAGACTACTGCATTAGTCTGCTGGTGGGTCTACCACAAGTCTCTCTCCATTTCAGTCCATCCTCTACTCTAACTGCCAGTGGTCTTCCTAGAGTGAAGGTCTGACCATGCCATCCCTCTACAAAATAAACTCCAGTGGCATCCTATCACCTTTAGGATCAAATATAAAATCCTGTTTAGTGTCCAAAGCCCCTCATACCCTGCATCTTTATCCCTCACCTTTCCAGTCTTATTCCACTTTACACATATCTTCGACCCTCCCTCCCCCAGGTACTCTCCAATCCAGTGACACTGGCCTCTAGTCTATTCCTTAAACAAGAAATAGGGATTTTCACTGGCTGTTACTTGTGCCCTAAGTGCTTAATACATGTTTATTGGCTGACTGTAGACCACTGGCTCCTTCTGGAGACTTTGTCCTGCCTTGCCTGCCATGACAGGACAGGGTCCTGGTTACACATCTAGATCCACTACTTCTCTATCTCCTTTACTGGTTCCAATTTCTCCTTCTACCTGTTAAAAAGGATTTCAGCCCTCTGCTCTCTTCTCAACAGTTCTCTAGTCTCTCCTGAAGAAATCACATCCACTCTTAAATCTTCCACTATTGCTCCTCTGCAGACGACTCCAGTCTACATATCCAGTCCTGCATCCTATCTGAATCTTAGCTCTCCCATCTCTAAATGCCTGCTGGATTATCTTCACTTGGATGCCCTGTCAGCTCAAATTAATCAAATCATTTTTCCCTCCAAACTAATTCTTCTAGATTGCTCCATATTTTTAAGTAGTAGAAGAGGCAGTAGTTGATAGCGGGCTGGAATGGAAGTTAGGAAGACCTAGAATCAAATCCTGATTCTAACACTTACTAGCTGACTGACTGTAGGCAAGTGACAACCCCTTGGAGTCTTGGTTCCATTTATAAAATGCAGTTGACATGTGTAGTGCCTACCTGTTGGGATTGTTGTGGAGATCACATGAGATTGTGTATGTAAAGTGCTTTGCCAATCTTAAAGTGCTAAATAAATGCCTGTTATTACTATTCCCAGCCTGTTATTATTATTCCCAATCAGGCTAGAAACCTTAGTCACTTTTAATACTTGCCTTCATTCAGTGTTAGGTAGAAAGAACATTGGACTAAGAGAATACTTGAGTTTTAATTCTGATACCTCTATTAGTCATATGTCTTTGGACAAGTCAGTCTCTCTGACCCTCTGTTTCCTCAACTGTCATAAATGGGGCTAATGATAGTTGTCCTACCTATTTTACAAGGTTGCCCTAAGAATTGAAAAATAATGTAACTGAAAGTAGCTTATGTAATACTATACAAATGTAAAGCACCATTCATTTAAAAAACACTTTGTTGATATCTAAAGTTTTACTTCAATCACGTGATTCTCTTGCTCAGAAACATTCAATGGCTCTCAATAACCAACAGGCTAAAGCAGAAATTCTTTAGCAGGGCATCCAGATCTACCATCTGACTTGACACCCTTCTTTTTCTTCAGTCTTATTTTCTACTTCTGCTTCTGACATGGATTCATTTGTATGCCTGCTATATAAGCTCTTGATTTGTTTCCTTTCTACTGCTATAAAACAAGTTATCAATCATTTTGTCAACTGTACAAAAGATAATTCTAGAGCTGCCATGTACCTACTCAAGGATACTGTGGATTGCTGTATCAGGAGACTGTGCCCTGTTAGATCTTGGGCTTTACAGATTTATCTCGTATATGTTAAGGCAATTTAAGCCTTTGATGTTGCACTCCAGGCCAACTGCTGCCAGGCTGTCATTGTCCCTGCCCCCTCAGTTATTTTCAATGCTTTCTTGGGGCTCCTCAGGACAGCGAGGAGATCTTGGCTCAAGATATGTATTTGGATCACAAAGGGAGCTATGGAAGCCTCAAAGCACAAAGTCACAAAGTGGAGCAGCAGACCTAGACTTTGCTCCTTCGCTGGTGCCCATAAGTGATAGATTTCACTTGGGGAATGATGTCCAACTCTTTAACAACCCAAGATCTATCGCTATTTTGGGGGAGGTGGGGACTCCACATAAGCCAATACAAGGCAGCACCCTCAATTTGGAAAGACTACATAGATCCCTGGGGAAGATGGGGTTCACTCAAGGGTTAGGTTGCTTGAATCTCTAGAAACCCTCAATTTTTTTTCCTCATCTGGTGGAGGAGTATAGGGCTCAACTCTAGGGTTGCAGTGTGAGTCCAAAGTGACTGGTAAGTCCCTGCGGAAGGTGAGGCCCATCAGACAGTAATTGAAAAACACACACACACACACACACACACACACACACACACACACACACACACACGGACTCTTTGAACTTGGGTTTGAGTACTTTTTGCATTGTGTTGTATGAAATCCCACATTGCTGCCCCAGGCTGCTGAGAAATGTAGTTTATTCTTAGCTAGAGACAGTATGGAGGGTAGACTCATGCCCCTGGTGGGAGCCAACAGCAAGTTAAGGGCACTGCAACCCCCAGCACGACTAAAATTTTGGGCAATTGGAATCTTATCTGGCTTGCAGATGTACTTAGGGAGTGATATATGTGGAAAGAACTTGCTGTTTTCTGGTCATGCCTGCCTGGCTGCCGGGATGCTTGGTAACTTTATCCACTCTCCCATTTGTCTCCCTGCGCCTCATTGCTTCAGGGTGAATATGGATTGGTGCTTATTCTTTGGAGCTTCAGACACTCCTCAAAACTTGTTTGTTATGTGTGCTTTTATAATGGGTTGTATCTCCAGATAAAGGTAATCTGACTTTTACTGTATTCTGAGCAAGCTATGGAGGTATGGTATTATATTTTTAAACACCTCCCTTTTAGTTTTTCTAGAATTATTAAGAAATACTATTTCTCTAGCCTAAAACCCCTTCCAGGCTACTCCCTTTAGGAGTCAGAAGAACAAAGACTAGGGCTTTCCTTTGAAATGGAGTAAGGGTAATAACCAAATTGATCTCATTTAGATGAACAATTGCCTTCTCACTCTCCAGGAGTGATTAGTGTTCAGACTGACCAAAGGACAGTTTTTACTGTAATTTGAAATTAAAGGTCAAAATACTGATGACAGAAACTCTTTTTTTTTCTTTAATCTATCAACTAGTCCAGGAAGGGATTCAGTTCTGGAATAATAGCTTTAGTATTTAAGTAGCTTTAATGTTTGCAAACAGCATCTCAGTTTATCCTACAACTTTGGGAGGTAAATGCTGTTATTCCCATTCTACAGATGAGGAAATGGAGGCTAAGTGACTTGTCTAATATTACACAGCTACTGTGCCTGACGCCTGATTTGAACTCAGGTCTTCCGCACTCCAAGTCCAAGAATGTTAACCCCAAACCGCATTTTCACATGTGATCTTTTTCTTATTCAGGATTCCTATAAATGTTACCTGAAATTGTCTTGGGGCAATCATGTTGGAAGGCATGGGAGACTAGGACAGTTTGAACATTTCTCTCTCCAATTGAGAAATTATTTGGATATATATTCAATAAAATTGTTTCTGGCAGACTTAAGCCCAAATCACACAGTACATTGGTATAATTTTTGGGGGGACACTTTAGTGGTGTTCTTTTACTCAGATTACTGATACCTAACAGAAAGACAACATTGGTTATAGGACCATTCTCTTTGAAGGACTTGTATGGCCAACTAAATATAGGTGAGGGACCTTTTAAATTCTCTAGGAAGCTTTTACAAAGAGAACAATTCCAGCCTTCCCAGCAGGCTCACGGGATCTGACATTTGAGAGAGAAGCCAAGTCTGTGAGACACAGTGAGGAGTATGTGTGCATATCTCTTCATGTCTGCATTGATGGCTACCTTCCTGGGTACGGTATCTTGTATGTGGAAAGCCTTCCTTGGGCAGCTTTAAATCACCTTCTGCTCTGGACCTAACCTGGTGAGCCTGGTGACAGGGGAGTTTCCTTAACCTCTTCTTTGCCAGGGGCAGCGCCAGTTAGTCCACACAGCCACTTGATGGCAGTGACTCTGGTTAAGTACTTCCAGCCTCAGTTTCCTCATCTGTTAAATATGACTAATAATGGCACCTCTTTCAAAGACTGTTGTGATGATCAAGCGCTTGGCAAATCTTAAGGCTAACTGTTGAGACAAGGAATAGAAGGGACAGGTCTTTTGTTTTTGTTTTTTCTATCAAGTTGATTATATTCAATGACTAAATGCTGTAATGATGGGTATATTATTGTAAAGATTTTTTTTCCTACAATGAATGGAATTTTTTTTTTTTTTAATTTTGGAAACAGTGGGGGTTAAGTGACTTGCCCAGGGTCACACAGCTAGTTAGTAAGTATCTGAGGCTGGATTTGAACTCAGGTCCTCCTAACTCCAGGGCCGGTGCCCTATCTACTGTACCACCTAGCTGCCCCCAATAAATGGAATTTTTAAAGTATACTCCAAGGCAGGAAGGGAAAGCACTGAGAGCCACACTTTTCAATACTGGTTTCCCTAGCCCACCATCAATAAGCCTCTGCTTCTCGAGAGCTGGGGGCAAAGGGCAGGTGACTGGGCTTGTGCCAATTCCTCTGGTCCAAGAGAAAAAGCTGTGCCACCACAGAGCAAGGAACCTCTGACTAGCGAGGCAGTGTACGGATCTCCAAGACTAAACATGGTACAATGAATTCCTGGTGAACGTCTTTCTTGGAAGAGCTGGGAAAGGTTTAACGGGCAAGTCAGGATGCCACATCCCTCTGACTAGAGTGGGAGTGGTAGATGCAGCATACACAGCCATCTCTGCACAGAGGAGGCACTCAGCAGATACGGGTCATACTAAATGAAAAAGATCCACAGGCCCAGGAGAGGTCAGACCAGCTTCAGTTTCAAGCAGTTTTCCTGATTGAAGGAAAGTGTGTCTTCTGAGTCCTGGCCCTTTCAAGGCCCTAAGTATTTCTTACAAAAGGCTACTGATGGGTCCACTATGAATTCACACTAACTGCAAATGGAAATGGACTATAGAGAATCAACTATAATTTCATTACTTTCTTATTGACAGTTGTTACTAGGGCTCTGACCCCCTTTCTCTATTCCTCTACCCGACTAGGAGCAATCAGGGCTTTCCAGGTTTTATGAACCATTGCAATCATCAGGGGCTTAGTATATTTGGGATCCCAGCCAATGACAGTGCTCCTGTCTGGTCAAACTGCAGAGTGAATACTGGGTCAGTTGAGTCTTCATTATTCACTATGCAGACCAGCTTTGGTTCCAGAATGACTCCATTTATTATTGTTGTGGTTGGCAAATTACATTCAGGAAACAAACTTGCCAGCTGTGCTCATGCCTTCAAAGACTCCCAAAGGATTAAGCAGGGAAATCAGGACCACAATCTTCTGGGTCAAGAGAACAGGCAGAAAGCCGCTCACCCCATCCTTTTTAACTTGGGAATGGCAGGGGAGAATCTTCCATTCCATATCTAGGGACCTTTCCCTATTCTTCACTCGGGCTCTGACTGGTCCTGAGTATCTGAGGGTCAACATCTCAGGTCTTTAGATGGTACAACAGGAAGAGTGAGGCAGGGAAGAGAAGGGAATAAGCATGTAGATAATGCCTAAAACATGCTAGGGACTGTGCTAAACATTTTAGAAATATCTCATTTGATCCTCATGATGACCCTACGAGGTAGGTGCTGTTATCATCCTTACTTTACAGTTGAGGAAAGTGAGGAAGTTAAGTGACCTGTCCAGGGTCACATGACTAGTGTCTGAGATCAGATTTGAACTCAGGTCTTCCTGACTCCAGACCCAGGATTCTATCTACTGCTCCACCTAGCTGCTTCTGGTGGGCTCAAACTTTTAGCACTGAAATATGACTGACCCTTTTCTTAACTTGTTCCCACCAGGCTTGTCTGTCTGCTATGAAGGCAGCTCAGCTGGCCATAGAGGAAATCAAGGGATCTGGGTTCTAGTTCTGACCCAGCTACTTACTAGGAAAAGATACCATCTCAGTTGTAAAAAGAGTGGCATGTTGGATAATGATTTCCAAGGTGCTCATGTCCCAGGATCTATGAGCTCCAGTCTTCCTCTATTAGCCTAAAGAGCTGGCCTGGTTTTGCTTTACCAGGGTCATTCAGGTCACCAGGGGGCTTCTCCCTGCTGTGCACTCTGATGTGGGTACTGAGCCTGGACTGGTGAATGAAGCCCTTGCCACATTCACTGCAGGAGAATGGTCTCTCCTTATGGTGTAAGCGCTGGTGGTAATTCAGGCCACTCTTCAAGCGGAAGCTCTTGCCACACTCAGGGCACTTAAAGGGTTTCTCACCACTGTGGACTCGGAAGTGTTCGGTCAGTTTATACTGGTGAGTGAAACCTTTGCCACATTCCTCACAGGAGAATGGTCTATCCCTGCTGTGCACACGCTGATGGACCTTGAGGGTGCCCTTCAGGCGGAAGCTCTTGTCACACTGGGGACACTGGAAGGGCTTCTCACCTGTGTGCATTCTGACGTGCTCTGTGAGGTGGAATTGCCTTGTGAAGCCTTTGCCGCATTCACTGCAAGAGAAAGGCCATTCCCCACTGTGTGTGCGCTGATGGGCTTTTAGAACAGCCTTCAGACGGAAGCTGGTGTCACATTCAGGGCACTGGAAGGGCCTGTCCCCTGTGTGCAGGCGCTGGTGCCTGAGCAGATGCCCCTTCAGGCAGAAGCTGGTGTCACATTCAGGGCACTGGAAGGGCCTGTCCCTCATGTGCAGGTGCTGGTGCCTGAGCAGATGCCCCTTCAGACGGAAGCTCTTGCCACACTCTGAGCACTGGAAAGGCCTCTCCCCGCTATGCACTCTCCTGTGTTCAATGAGCTTAGATTTCTGAGTGAAGCCCTTGCCACACTCCAGGCAGAAGAAGGGCCTCTCTGTGCCATGTAAGTACTGGTGGGCCTTCAGGAGGCCCTTTCTGGGGAAGCTCCTTTTGCCCGTGTGCAATTGGGTGTGTTCCATGAGCTGGGGGAGGGCCTGGACAAATGCTCCCTCTCTTCTGTATGGGCCCTCTTCTGCCTTTGTATGACTCTTTAAGCAGAAGTCCTTTTCATTGTTCTCATTCCGTGGCAAGTGCCTTTGCCAGCCCTGGATGCTCTGGTGCTGCTGGAGAGCAGATCTCTGCCTGAATGTCTTCTTGCCCTTTGGGCACTGGCACAGCTGGCCTCTGGAGTGGCTTCTTTTGTGTTTCACCAGATGGCCCTTTAGGCAGAAGCCTTTACTGCAGTCAGGGCACGGGCAGATGCTCTGCCTTATGGGAATTTTCTGGAAGGAAGGGGATCCCTCAGTTCTGTGGCTTAAGTCTCTCTTGTTTAAGTTGGATTCCTGGACTTTTGGGGCTAAAGACTGTGAATCTTGGTCACATGGGCTCCTTAAGGAAGAGCACCGCTGACCATGTGTAGAGGAAGCTTCTCTTCTTTTTCCTGACAATAGTAATTCAGATAAATCCTGGTTTTGAAGATCACAAAAATACTGCTTTTCCTTTTGTGAACTCACAGATCCCTGGTCCTCTGGAATTAAAAACAAAAATCCAGTCACTCTACATTCTAGGTGCTTTATGGCAGAGACCTTTAATTCGGACAGTCCTCCCTGAGCCCCACTTTTAGGGCATCTGTCACTCTGTCCCCAAATAGCTTTCCTCATTTCTTCAAAAGGTCTCGGATTCCACTAATGTGGGTTCTCTCACTCTTCTAACACAGAGCAACCCCTTCACTCCCTTCTGTCCGTCCCTGGACAGATGTCTTCCAACATGATCATCTGGCAGCCAACCTTATGCAGAGAAGTCTTCTGAAGTTAGCTAGGTTACTCTCAAGTCAATTGTCTATTACGAGGTCAGCATATCATTCAAAGCCAGGTTGGTAGGATCTTCTAGATAGGGGTGGGGAACATTTGGCCTCAAGGCCACATGGCCCTCTAGGTCCTCAGCTGCAGCCCTTTGACTGAATCCAGACTTCACAGAACAAACCCCTTAATAAAAGGACGTGTTCTGTAAAACTTAGACTCAGTCAAAGGGTTATACCTAAGGACCCAGACGGCCATGCGTTGCCTCAAGGCTGCAGGTTCCCCACTCCTGTTAGAATATGTGCTCAGCTGACCTAACCTTTCAGGTTAGGTTAGTATACTGCAAGGTCAGCCATATACTACAATGAGGTATCTCTCAAAGTGGGACTTTAGTCTTCACTAACATAACCAAAAATAACTAGACTGCTGAGACTCAGTTTAAGTGTGCCAGGAAAATAATATAGAACAATAAGGTCATAAAAGCATACATGTGACTGTTAACAAGACCTAACTCTATGAAAACAGATTCTCCTAGAGGATTCAAAGAAGAGCAGAAATTAGATTGCTTGGTAGGCTGAGTATTCATTGTCTACTGCGGGGTACAGAGAAGGCACTTAATAAATGCTTGCAGAACTGAAGTGTTGAATCCCTGTTACATTTTCTCCAGTCTAATTAACATAAGTCCTTGAGAGGTGAGGCAGGGGAATTTAAGGATCATGTTCATCGACCATGTCCAAACAGCCCCCAAATGAGTTACTGACAGAAGCAAGATTTTGAGGGGTATGGGTCTTCAAGAAGGCGAAATATTAGCCTAAGAAATGACTTCAAGGAGCAACATAGCTGGACTTTCTAAGGTATTCTTATAAGGTAAATAGATGGGCAAATGAACATGGAAAATGCTGTTCCCAAATTAAAAACCAAGAGAGGAGGAAAAATATATGGAAACAGGGAATGAATAGCCACATCTTCCCTACCTTCTCAGATTGTGAACTCTCTTAATTTCATCATACCCTAGGGTGAAGGCCCATTCAAGTTTGCCATTTCCTTCAATTTCTGACCAGAACACAGGGTTCTTTGTCTTGCTTAATCTTGCAGAAAATATGAACTACTAGGCTTCCACCTCCTCATCTGTAAGATGACCATCTTGATGAGAATCAAATAATTCTAATAATAATTGCAAGCATAACATAAGCAACTACAGAATGTTATATTGAGACCTGTTATGATGAGGTAAACGATGAGGTTTCAATCTTGGAAGAGAGCTCATCTGTGGGTTCAAATGGAGAAGACAGTCCCCAGAATGGCAGGGAAGTCTTTTGGGGTCTGAGGCCCTGAACAGTTGGTCTCCATGGGTGCTCTTGAAGCCTATTGAGTGTCTGTTTAGACACAAACCCCAGCTCAGCCCAACACGAGGGGAAGATCTAAGTCTAGGAACTAGGAGAATATCGATATGCTTTCTTTAGTTTTACTGCCCTCATCCTCTCTCACTCACCCCCAAACTGCTGCCCCTCTGTGTGCTTCAAGTGAAGATGCTCCTCAGCTCTGGTGCTGATGGTCATGTCTTTTCTCTCCAAGCTTCCCAGACCTCTGATGAATGGCTCTTGCCCTCGTTCAATCCAGGTGATCAAGTCTGGTTTGGGAATGGCACAGCCTGCACACAGCCCACAAAGAAAGAATCATGTTTACTTAAACAGAATGTCCTTGAATTGAAAAGCATATCGATAGTGATTCAATTACATCTGATTTCCTAAGAGAACAAGAGAAATGTGAGGCAATATGGGGAAGATTTTTAAATCCAGGTCCCTGGGGTATCCCATCTTAACACTTGCTTTTCAACCTATTTGAATTTCCTACTTGACTTCTTCTCATGCTCTTAACTTCTTGAAATGTGCTATGTGGTACATTAAAAAAAAAAAATTGGTCCCAGGCTTACAATTTCATTGGTGTGAAGGAATTACTGGCGTGGAAACAAATCAACACCCCCTCTGTAACTTAGTCTTAGAAGATTTCCTAGGGCACAGCAGTAAAGCCACCTACCCATGGTCACACAGCCAATATATGGAAGATTCAGGATGATTTGAAACTAAGACAGTCTTTCATTCCATAGACCATGCTGCCCCCTACATGGTTATACAATGGCTTAAGAAGTAAATTAAAATTGCTTTTGTAATTCTGGAACCTATATTTTCTTAGTTTCCTAGACTAAAGAGGTAGGAGTTGTTTAACTCCTACCTCCTTTATCTCCAGCACTCAACTAGTCAGAGTCTTCTTTTCAAAAAAACTCAAATTTAAACACCAAACAAAATGAATATTTCCATACACAAAGTAGTACAGAAAAAGATCATACGTGAAACTGTTAATCTCCATTATATACAGATTGCATGTAATGAATTCAATATATAATTTTCTGCTTGTTTGTTCTTCTGGCCTTTCTTCTAATCCTTAAAAAATACTTCAATCATCCTCTTTTCTTTCTTTTTTTTGGGGGGGCGGGAACTCTATTGTTACCTGACCTTTCCTTCCCACCCCTTCATCAAAGCTGAGGGTGGAGGGGAGAGAAGAAAAAACAAAACCTTTGTAACAAATAAACATAGTTAGAAAAGCGAATTCCCACACTGGCCCTCACCAAAAACGTATGTCCTCTTGAGTCCATCACCTCTCTGCCAGAAGGGAGACAGCATTCTTCATCATTGGTCTTTTGGAATTGTGGTTGGGCCTTGCATTGATCAGAGATCTAAAATCTTTCAAAATTGTCTTTCTTTACAAAAAGAAATTGTATAAATTGTTCTCCTGGTTCTTCTCACTTCACTCTGGATCAATTCATGTAAATCTTCCCAGGTTTCTCTGAAACTGTCCCGGATGGTAGTCATGATTCTTCTCTCACAGTGTTTCTTTGGTTTCTTTCTCTTGTTCTCAATGCCACTCATTCTTTTGTTACCTCATGCTTCAAGTATAATTGACTTTGCCTCTCTCTTTGTTTCTCCTCCTCCTTTTATGAAATCCTAAAGGAATCTTTCTAAAATATGCTTTTCCATGTCATTTCTCTACTACAAAACCTACTAATGTTTTCCTAATGCCTATCAAGTTTCATATAAGATCCTTAAAGTGAGAACTCAAGGCTTTATGTTAATTGGTCTCATCTAACAAATCCAACTTTAATTTTCATTACTCTCCAACATGAGTTCTCCTTAAGTTAGCTATATTTCTTCTCAAGTAAAATACACACATTTTTAGGGCAGTGACCTGTTTTTATCTTTGCATTCTTGATGCCTAGATGTCACCCTACACTTAGTACATGCTTAATAAATGCTCTCTGGACTGGATGGTACCTCATTCACTTACTCCTTTGCCCTTCTGTCTCAAATATTCTTTCCTTTCCTTACCAACAATAAGGATCCTATGCTTCCTTCAAAACCCCCTTAGGACCCACTTCCTCCATGAAACTTTCCCTGACCAGTCCAGCTCACATTATTATAGATTATGCTTCCTTATTAGAACTCCTATAGGACTTCTAGTCTCTACTACCAAAATTTAACATTTCATAATTTACATCTAGTACTGTTCACTACAGATTTCATATATGTCTTTTTTCTCCAACAAGATTGTAAATTACTCTGGGCAGAACTATACAATGATCACATATGGTAAAAAAAACAACTGTGAAAGATAAGAACTATGGTCAATGCAATGATCAATTATGACTCCAGGAGACTGGTAATGAATCATGCCTCCCATCCCTTGGCAGGATCAGTGATAGACTATGAGGTGCAAAATGAGAAAGACATTTTCAGATACCGCTAAACAGACACTGAAAAGGAAAAAAATAAAGAACAGAGTCAGGGGCTCATTAAAAAAAATAAAGAGGGTAGCAGAAGGAAACTGAGAATAGGGCATTGACAAGAATAGCAGCATTGAAACTACCATGTTAAATTTGAATTAAACAATAAAAAATCTCAAGCTGTATGAAGTAGAAAAAAACCAAACTCTGTAACACAGTTCACAGTTCTTACATGATCCTCTTTTTGTTTCTCTTTGTATACTGAAATGTTCATATTATTTATGTTTATTAAGTTCCTAATATGAAAGAAAATGAAAAAATTTTTAAAAGATGATAAATTACTTAATGGCTGAGACCTTGACTTATACGTCTCTGTCTCCTAGTCAGATAGCAGGATAGTGAATAAATATCTACTGACTTGGCTGAAAGTCCCTCACTGTTGTACTTTTATTAATTTTGTTTATTGTTTATACTTTATTAAAATTTCATTTTATATTTATTTATGTTTACTCTATTTTATTTAATTTGTTTATTGTACCTTGTTTATTCATTTTTGTTCCTTTCATGTCAAAATCATGATGCTGAAGACACCAAGCTGGTAGAAATGGGGGAAATGAGAAAATACACTGTATTTTTTGTTTGTAACAACATAATGTTTTTAGTGCCCTTCCACTTTTTGGTTCCATTTACACCCTCAAAGTAATTGACTTTTTCACACCTTCCCTGTACTAACAACGTGGCTGTGTTCCTTTCAGCTTGGTTCTCTCTGGCTCTTTTCTTATCTGTCTCCTCTGTTCTTTACAGAGTAGAGGACTTAGAGAGCAGAGGAATGCAACAGTCATAATCATGTAAGGGGGGCTGGGGTCTGAGCTGATTCTTCTGGGTATAGGTTAGGTTGAGTGCTGTGTGTGTGTATTCGTTATGTGTATGTGGGATATGTGTGTGTGGTGTGTGAGAAAACACTTAGGTATTGTGTGGACAGATCATCTTCAAGGTAATTGAGCACAAAGTTCAAGCAACCATAATAATTCTAAAGTTCTACAAAAAGAATTGAACACAATCATGTGATACAGAAAGGCTAGAAAACATAGGCCCCCAAGAGGAGTGGGTATTTAATGTTATTAGGCATGCAACAGAGAGTTCTTTTTTTTTGCTGAGGCAATTGGGGTTAAGTGACTTGCCCAAGGTCACACAGCTAGTAAGTGTTATGTGTGTGAGGCTGGATTTGAACTCAGGTCCTCCTGATTCCAGGGCTGGTGCTCTATCTACTGTGCCATCTAGCTGCTCTGTAACAGAGAGTTCTTGAATTTTACTTAAGAAATACGAGAGCCCCAAAAGAAAAGTAAAGATAAGAGAAAACAGAACCTCTGACCCTCTGATCCTAAGGGTGATAAACTCGCACATAGCATTCCAAAACACAGACAGGAAAAGGCTTAAATACCCTGGTTGCTATACAATATTTCATTAGTAACATACTTATATCTAAAGATATAGGTAGATGTGTGTGTGTATGTATGTATATGTGCACACAGGGATATAGACATTATATATTACACATGACTCGTGTGTGAGCAAGTAGATAAACACATATAATATTAATATTACATATATTGTATATGATGTATGCGTACATGAATGGATAGACACATTATGTATATTTAACACATAATTGTGTGTATGTGTGCATGAATGGAAAGATATTACATATTATATGTCATTTTGCATATGCAAGTAGATATATACATTATATATTATACATAACTATATGATGTGTCTATGTGTGCACTAGTGATGATACACATTATAAATAATATACAAGTAATGCCCCATTTGGGGCAGCTAGGTGGTGAAGTGGATAGAGCGCCAGGCCTCTATGAGTCAAAAGACTCATTCTCCTGAGTTCAAATTTGGCCTCGGACACTTACTAGCTTTGTGACCCTGGCAAAGTCACTTAACCTTGTTTGCCTAGTTTCCTCATCTGTAAAATGAGCTGGAGAAAGCAATGGCAAACCACTCCAGTATCTCTGCCAAGAAAACCCCAAATGGGGTCAGGAAGAGTTGGGCATGACTGAAAAATGACTGAACAACAACAAAATGTGTCTATCCACTGATATATGTAGGCACAAATGATATATACATTATATGAATATTGTATATAATGTATGTAGGCATACACAATGGATATAGACATTCTATATATTATATTTAACATATATAATGTATATATGTGTACATGAGTAGAAAGATAAGTGAATATTGAATACATAATGTACCTATGCATACAGAAGTGGATAGACACATATATAATATGTCTATCCACTTATATATTATATATAATATACAAATAATGTGTTTATGCACATGAGTGGATATACACATTACACACACACACACACACACACACACACACACACACACAGAGAATTCCTTGAGAGCAGAAATTGTTTTATTTTATTTTTGTATCCCATCACCTAGCACAGTGCCTTGGCACATAGAGTTGAATAAATGCTTGGTGAATGATGGGACACTTATGAATTGGACATGCCTTCACATCAAACCAGATGATGACCTTGAGAGTGTTTAGTGAATCCACAGCTGCCTTGTGGGACATACCAATTTCAGTCTCTCAAATAATGAGGGCCCAGGCAAAACTACAAATATTAAAAACCATCTTTCAGGTTTTCTTATTGAAGAACTAGGACACAGTGAAGCAACAGATGCCTATATAAAACCTCTTTCCTGTGTTCGATTCCATGAAAATCACCCATAAAGTTCCTCACTAAAGCCTCTTACCCAGGAAGTCCAAAGTCTCATAATTGGACTTCATTATGTTCTTATAAAGGTCTTTCTGCCAATCCTCCAGGTTTCTCCACTCTTGCTCTGAGAAATATATGGCCACATCATCAAATGTCACAGGTATCTGGAACCACAAACATGAAACACACGTCACTTTTACTTGTCATCACTAATTCGGATAAACTCTTTCAATCCCATTCATTTCACATAGCCTGCTACAAATTGATTTCCACAAGGTCTATTTTCAGCATTTTTAAGGTGACCACATAGCACTCCAAGAGAAAGCCACGATGTGCATCTTCCAAGACAGCTGGGCCTCTTTTCCTAGTCAAATCTGACACTTGGTGGCAAATTCTCAAGTAAAGCAGATCTTCACTAGGTAAAAGTCAAGGAAAACCTGATAATCAGGGCCCGGGTTATTCAGAATCCTGGGAGAGACCCATTTTGCTACAGAGAATGTTATAATGCGAAAACTGTCGGGTCTTCTAACACTTATCGAGCTAAGTAATTTCGGTTAAAGTTTCTTAACCTAGCCGTCTCATCTGGAAAATGGTGACAATAAAACCTAACATTTCTACCCCGGCGGGGATTTCGGGGCAAAGGGCTTTGGCTGCATTCTCGGGTTCCAGAAAGGCCAGGCCAAGTCCGTCCCCGGGCCGAGTCCCAAGGCCACGGGCGAATGCTCCCACGGCCCTCTGGGGCCGGAGGCTGAGTCCTCGCTGAGTCCAGGAGCCCCAGCAGGGGCGAGGCCGGCCTCGCACGGCCTCCTCCTTCAGCCTCCGCATCTCCGCCCCGAGCCCCGAGCGCTGAGCGCGGGGCGAGCGCGCCCGAGGCGCTGGAGACTGAAGCCGAGCGGGCGCGGCGGGATCGGGCACGAGGGCTCGGCGTGTCCGAGCCTGATGCGGGGCAGGAGTCACTGGTCACTGTACCGCAAAGCCGTACGGGACCTACAGATAACGAACCCCGCAAACTTCAAATTGCACGGCCGATGACTTCTTATTGACGCGACTCTCGCCCCAGCCCACCTGCCCAGGCCTCTGGGAGGCCAGGGCCTTACCCGAGCAGGCGCCCCCGGGGCCATGGCCTCCTAGTCGCCTCCGGCCGAGAGCACCAAGCACAGAGATGGGTAATGCTGTTTGGGGACCCCGAGGTCGGGAGCACAACCTGCATCCGGGGAACGCGCCCGCCGGGCTCACGGAAGGCCCGCCCCTTCTCCCCGGGCTCCGCCCCCACAGCGCCGCCTGCAGGTGGGAGGGGGAACACCTCCCCTTGCTCCGCCCCTCCTACTCTGGTTTCTCTCGGTCCCGCCCCGCCCCTGCTGCCCGGGCTTCTCCCGGCCCCGCCCCTGCTGCCCGGGCTTCTCCCGGCCCCGCCCCTGCTGCCCGGGCTTCTCAGTCTCCCCTCCCGCTGTCACTTCCCTCTCTCCCTCCAGCGGGAGGAGCTGGCGGTCCCCTCTCCCAGCGGGGCGGGGGGCGGCTCTCGCCCAGACTCGATGACCGCGACTTTCCGGTTTTCTCCCGGCCTCCTGCGGTCCTCTCTCCGTCCCTCGGATCCTTTCCTTGCAGCCCTGCCCCCCCCCCCCCCCCCCCCCCCCCCCCCCCTCGCGCCCCTGGCCCCCCCCCCCCCCCCCCCCCCCCCCCCGCTGGCTGTGGCAAGCACGGTTTAATTCGATAGAAAACATTCACTAAGCGCCTGTGTTGGAAGCCTAAGTTACTTCGCGCTCTGGTGGTGCTCAAGTAATGTACACTTGTAACTGATCTGACCCAACGCAGCAGAGTCCCCCAAACATACCTGTGCCAGGACCGTGGAAAAAATGCTTTCAATAGTGGGGTAGAGGAGGGAAGAGGAGATTGCTCTTAATAAGGAGTGGGCGGTCAGTGAGGGTAAACTACCCTTAAGAAGGATGGCACTGGGGGGACAGCTAGGTGGCACAGTGGATAGAGCTTCGGCCTTGGAGTCAGGAGGACCTGAGTTCAAATCCTGTCTCAGACCAGACACTTGACACTAGCTGTGTGACCCAGGGCAAGTCACTTAACCCCAATTGCCTCACCAAAAAAGCAATTAGTATAGCAGTGAAGGGAAGGAATACATGAGGCTGCTTGAACAGGTCACATAGATTGTGGTCTAAACATAAACAAGGAGAGAGTAAACAGGTATTTTGAGGTGGAAAGTGACGTAGGTGGGGATGTGGAGGAGCGCATTCCGGTGGCATTAATCTCTGCACAGCACAAAACAAGGCGCCTTCTCTTGCTGGTTTAGCCTAGATGTGCGTCATCCCTAAGCCATCATCCACCATGACCTAGCCATCATGGGCGTCTTGCCCACTGCCCCACCATTACACCAGTGCCTCTCCCACCCCTGCTTTTCCCTTCGTGCGCAGGAACCCAAATCCAACCATTGCTCCCGGGCACGGTGCGCCAATCCGCAGCTCCAGCTCTACTCACAATTCCTGACTGCCATACCAAAGCTCCTTCCCTGGCCATCCCTTTGGATGGGTGCTTTGTCCTCTTAGTGCTATGTAAGCTCTCGGAGGGCTGGGCTGTCTCAGGTTTTTGTCTCCCCACTGCCAAGCACAGTTCCTGACACGTAACAGGCACTTAATAAATAAATGTTTGCTGATTAACCAATACATATTGGGGCTTGAAGAGCATCTGGAAGTTTGAAACAATGGCTATGAGAAATAAAATAGGAAGGCACCACCTGGGATAAATTAAATGATTGCTGAGCAGTAGTTACAATACGATTGGATAAGATACCATGAATTTGTCCCGGGATCTGGCAACAGGGTTTTGGAACTTTCTCCAGAAACACTCATTGTCCCAGAAGCAGGAAGGGATAAAGGGACAAAATGGACTGTGAAAGTGATGGGCAGCTGAGGACTGTTAAGAGATCTAGGAGAGTGAAGGAAGACAGGTCATGGCACACTGGCCATGAGGACAACCAGGAGTCACTGAAGTATCCCGAAGAGGGGAATGATGTGACAAAATGGTGCTTGAGAAAAATGAATCATGCAGCTCCATTCTGAAGGGTTAGCCCAGGTAGAGATTTAAGGCAGAGGGAGATCACAGCCGGCAGATATGCACTATTTTGGGCTGTGATGTGCACTAAGTTTTTTGAAGGGCCTGGCTCCATAAATATTAGCAGAATGAATTGTGAATAAAATGCCAATTTCATTTTCACATGATTTTCAGTTGTTTGTTTGATTGATCCTGACCACAAACTTGTGAGGTAGGTCTGCAGATACTATTATTTGCATTATAGGCGAGAAAATTGAAGTTCTGAGGCTAAATGCCTTTCCTGTGGTCATGGAACTAACAAGGTAAAATAAGTGATTCAAACTCATGCCTCAACGACTTCAAATCCAGTGTGTTTTTCTACAGCATCATGTCCGTCCTCCCCCACTGCAAAAACTAATGTCCTCAATACTACCCTTGGGGAAATTTTTGTGCTTTTTTTCCGGCCACATTGGTGAACTTTTCCCAACCCATTTTTCTGCTTGAAATGTCTCCTATCTTCCTTTTCAAGGCAGCTCAAAGTACTCCAGTACTTCCCAGACAAATATCACCCAGCCATACCTACTATTTTACTGGGTGTCTTCTGGACTGTTTATGTGCATGGTAATGGCTGAAGGGGGTTTACCTGCATTCACTTGCGATTATTTATGTTTTTTTATCTACCTCCGACTGGGAAAGCAGGACTAGCTCCTATTTCTGTTGTTTCCTTGCTCAGTGTAGTAGGGAGTTTTTCTCAAGTTGAGGAGACTGTGTAGGTGACACAGAACTCACAGACTCATCACACAAACCAATCAGCTCAAACTCAGAGATGTTTTATTTATTGTTATGTTATTAACAAACTACAGCAAAAAATTAAAACAAAAACAACCTCAGCAACCAACGCCTCTAATACAACTGTATTCATTCAAGACTACATTCTACAAGGGCTACAAAGTGCCCATGTGACCATCAGCCTTCTCTGTTTGGGTCTGAGGTAGGCAGGAGGAAGATTCCTGTCCTGTCAAACTATTCTGTACCCGGGTTCTCTCTCACGCTTTCAAAGGGAACTTCTTTGGTTTTTAGGGAGTGCTGAGTGAGAAGGGATTTACCAATGGAAGGGTACTGTGACATCTGAAGAGGTGATAACCTCTTCAGAGCTAGCTTATGAGGCACATGAGAACACCAGTCTCATTCTGAATTATACAGCTATTCTCAGTTATATAGTTTGTTTTTGAACAAAAAAAAAACAGCATCACAGTTTGATCACCAACTTTATTGGCCAGACTTCACTGAATAGTTGAAGAGCTGCCTTACTAACAAGGTACTTAACTTCTGCTTGGCTCCAGAAAGAACTGTGAAAAACTCATGGAAGTTATGGGGAGCCTGACTCTAACGCAATCTAAGTAAGAACCTCCCAGCAAGCAGAGCTATCCCAGACGGAATATGGCCTGCCTCATGAGGTAGTAAGTTTCCTGTTACTAGAGGTGTTCCAGCAGAGGTCTAAAGACCACTGGTCAAAGATGTTGTAGAGAGCTTGGATTAGATATGATCTGAAGTTACTTCCCACTGTAACTCTTTGACTTGACTTGGATATTTGATACCCCCCCTTGTATGCTAGAGGTTTTGTTTTAACTCCAATCAAGGTTCGTTAGTCCACACATCAGGCCCTTGTAGTGCTGTTTCTTGGTGTGCACCTTAATGTGGGCTGTGAGCTTAGACTGCTTGGGAAATGCCTTATTGCACTCGCTGCAGCAGAATGACCTGGCTTTGTTGTGTATTCGCAAGTGACCCTTCATGTCTGCTTTCAGGCGAAAGGTCTTGCCACACTCTGGGCACTTGAAGGGCCTCTCCCCCGTGTGCAATCTGATGTGCTCAGTGAGATGACAATGTTTGGTGAAACCCTTACCGCATTCACTGCAGGAGAAAGGCCTTTCCCCGCTGTGCCGGCGTTGGTGGGCCTTCATGTCAGCTTTCACTCGGAAGCTCTTGTCACACTCTGGGCACGGAAAGGGCCTCTCCCCCGTGTGCTGGGGCAGGTGCCTGAGCAGATGCCCCTTCTGGTGGAAGCTCTTGTCACACTCTGGGCACTGGAAGGGCCTCTCCCCCGTGTGCAGGCGCTGGTGCCTGAGCAGTCGGTCCTTCCGGCCATAGTTCTTGTTGCACTCAGTGCAGAAGAATGGTTTCTTCTCTCTGTGTATCCTGATGTGATTGGCTAGTTGAGACTTGTGGGTGAAGCCCTTGTTACACTCACTACAGCGGAATGGTAAGAGCCAAGGTGAGTTCTGGTTTTGAAGGTTTTCCTGCTCTTTTGAACTTGAAGATCTAGAATTCCCTGGAATTAAAAACAAAAAATTCTGTCAATATTCATGGCTATGCCATGTCAAGGCTAAGGGACTCACTACATTATAAACATATATTTTGTATGTGTGTGTACACAAACACTCTCTCTCTCCCAATTTCAAGGGGCTACTGTGTCAATCAAAGGGTAGATCACACAATCCTTTGTAACCTATAAAGCAATATATAAATGTAATGCATTAATGTTTTTGGAAGCGAATTAACTTCTCTACATCTTTAGCAAAGTTAGACACTGACTGAACTGTCCTAAAAATCCAAAATTTCATTGCCAGAGATGCTCTTGTTTTGCCCCGAAATTGATTTTCTCATTTCATTATCAAGACCAAGTACAAACAGACTGCTGAGACCCTTTTTTCTACTCTTGATCCCTCATTACGTGTGACAAAGTTAAAGATCTGAATCCATCTGTCTAGTAACATCGAGCCCTGAGCCCCACAGATTTCTCTCTTGAAGGCAGTCAGTCATATGAATTAAAATACTCCAGAAGGCTTGAGTATACTGTGGCTACATCTTCCCCAGTCTCTGATGTGACTCACGGAGGTCAGACAGGAAGACTCAGGGACAGTGTTAATCTGAAAAATTCTACCACAAAGTTCAAGGAAAGTTTGCAGGAAGATCTTCCTCCAGAAGAATGGTGGGTCTCTAGGACTTTATATATAATACCTTATGTGATTCTTACAGCAATTCTGTGAGGTAATGCTTTTTATGTTGTGCAAGTATTGCCATCCCTGTTTCACAGAAGAGGAAATTACAGCTCAGAGAGATTAAATAGATTGTGGTCATTGGGACAGGTGGGAGTGTAACTCAAGTTATACTGAATGCAGTGAGCTCCTTCCACAATACCATGTTGCTTGTCTCATGGACCTTGAAAAAAAAGGGATCAGGAAGAATCACCTTGTTACATTCTACTTCTTTTGCAAATTCAAAGCTGACAATTCAATTTTGCTCCTGAGCCAAAGTCTGTTGAAAATATTTTTTCCCCAGATTCTTACTGATCTGGAACAAATATTTCTATGGCTACTGACAGAGGTGGATCTACCCTTTGGGAAAGGAAATTAGATGCTTAAGGATTTTGTCTCTTGTGAGGAATAAAGTTGTAGGCCTTCCCCCCTCCCATTTTTATCACAGATATGTCATTTATTAAAAGCAGAGGGTCAAAATTCCACTGACAGTTGAACAGAACTATATGTCTTCTCCTTCCTTCCTTGTGGAGCCAACTAGGAACTCAATGCTTCCTCACCCTGGAGCAGAGTCTTCTGTTTTAGTGATCTAGTTCCTGGTTTATTTAGCCACTGGAAGGCAACAGCAAAAAAGAAGCAAGACATTTTCTATGATGACATTACAAATTCGACTCCCCAACCCATGACAAATCTCTTTTTCAGAAGTCAGAATTTCAGGTTTCTGAAACAAGAAAAACAGGACAGAGCTCCTGTCTGTGTATGACACACATGACAGAGAAGTTGTTTGGGGTCAGGAGCTCTAGACAGTTGATCTCTTCACTTGCTCTCCTGAAGCCCAGTCCTGCCCTGATACCAAACCCCAGCTCAGCTGGACATGAAAGGACGATTTCAGTCCCAGAAGGAAGAGAATCAGAATGTGTCCTCCTCAGTTTCTCTCCTTTCACTTCTTCTCACTCACCAGAAAACAGCTGCCCCTGTGTGCTCTTCATGTCAGGATGCTCATCAGCCCTGGAACCAATGGCCAGTTCTTTGTCCAAGTGTCCCCCATCTCTGATGAATGGCTCTTCCCCTTGTTCAATTTGGGTTATCAAGTCTGGTTTGGGAAAGGCATAGCCTGGACAAAGGCCACAAAACAGAAGTTAAGTTTATTTTTCTTTAGGTCACTAGAAGTACAAGTTTTGGGAATATCTGTAATAAATGAGGACTTTATGGTGCTATAAAGCAGAATGACTGACTGCACCCTGGCATTAGGTTCCTAGAGTGATGCCCAACCTATCTAAGTTGCAATTGAGTTAACTTCTTCACATCTCTCTCTCTCTCTTTTTTTAAGGCAATTGGGATTAAGTGACTTGCCTAGGGTCACACAGCTAGTAAATGTCAAGTGTTTGGTCTGAGGCTGGATTTGAACTCAGGTCCTCCTGACTTCAAGGCCGGTGCTCTATCCACTGCACCTCCTAGCTGTCCCTTCACGTCTCTTAAAGTACAGCATTGTATATGGTGATTAAATTATAATTATTTTTATTTTTTGAGTTCCTTGATAGCCACCTGAGTTGACTCAACATGTGGAGACTGTCATAAAAACAATCTTTGAATGACTGTGCCTTGAAAACAACTGGCTCTAGGTAAAATGTTCCCTTGTCTTCTTGGTGATAAATTTCCATTACCATCTGCCTTAAACAGACAGACTGTCCTGCTCAGACTTAAGGAGCTGACCCACATCAAGTCACATTTATACGACGTTTTAAAGTCTACAAAAACCTTATGAGGTAGATAGATCAAGTGGCTATTATTCCCATTTTAAACATAAAGAAACTGAAGTACAAAGAGATGAAGTTATTTGCTAGTGGTCATATTAAGTATAGGGGCTGAGACGTGCAACACAGATCTGCTAACCCTACTCCTACCCTTTTCAGTCAGTCAGTTAATAAATACCTACTATGTGCCAGGCACTGTGCTAAGCACCGAGGATACAAAAGAAAGGCAAAAGACAGACCTGCCCTCGAGGAGTTCATAGCTTAATCAGGGAGACAACATACAAACAACTATACACAAACAAGATATACACACGATAAATCAGTGATAATCAACTGAGGGAAGCCACTGGCATTAAGGGGGATCAGGAAAAGTTTCCTGTAGATGGTGGGATTTTAGCTGAGACTTGAAGGAAGCCCGAGAAGTCAGGAGGCAGAGATGAGGAGGAAAAGCATTCCTGGCATGGGGAATAGGCAGTGAAAATTCCTATTTTTAGTCAGGGGATGGAGTATGTTGGTCAAGAAAGAGTAAGGAGGCCAGTGTTACTGGACCACGGAGTATGTAGGAGTGAGTAAGTTATAAGCAGACAGGAAAGGCTGGGTTATAACGGACTTTGAATATTAAACTGTGGATTTACACTACACCAAGTTGTTTTCAAGCCTGTCCAAGCCAACCTTCTTAAGTTTCAAATGCAGTAGGATGGTGCTGCACAGGGGAAGTCTGATGGCAGAGTTTGCAGTGGTCTAGGTTTTCATTTTTACTCCTTCAAACCTAGCTTTCATTCTGACCACTCTGATGAAACTGGTCCCATGAAGGTCACTGGCTAAAATGACCAGCCACTATGCATGTCACCTTCTCTTTGGGCTCTTTGAAGACTTTGGCAAACAAACCTTTCTTTTGAAAATTCCTTGACCAGCCTCCTCTAGGAAGCATTTCCAACCTATTCCAGCCCATAGGAATTTTCCCCTCTTCTGGACACTGCAGCCTAACGGCTGGTAGTGTCGGCTTCACCTCATGACAACCCTTGCATCATTGAATTTATCTTTTGCATTGTAATTCAGAAGAAAGTGTGGCAGATTGGGCAGAGTGCTAGGTAGGGAAGTCCCAAGAGTCAGAATCTCTTGCTGACACTACATGGGGAGCCAAGGGCAAGCTAAACTCTCTCAGCTTCACATAACACTCCCAGAATGGATGTTCTGGTACCAGAGGGAAGGGGGGTGGGCACAGGGCTGGATTTGGAGGTGTAAGTGACACTAGCTGTGGGAACCTGGGCAATTCTCTAAAGTTTATCTACTAAATCAAGCTATGCATTTCCCCATCTGCACAAAATCTCGGCTCTTTACTATTATTTACACATGTATATTTATATCCTATGCTGTTTTATATTTATATCCTCTGCTTACGTTTTAGGTTTCTTCAAAGAGATTACTAGTTCCTGCAGAGTTAGCAGGTTGTGTGTTTTATACTGAGAAGCTGAGTGGCCTAGAGCAGTGGTGCTGAAACTCAAATAGAAACAGACACTAGCTGGCTGAACACTGACTTGGAAAACCATAAATTAACATTATCTATGTTGCGTTGTATTTTTATTTTGTTAAACATTTCCCAATTACATTTTAATCTGCTTCCCCAGTGGCAGTATGTTTGATACCTCTTGATAAAAGAGAGAGAAAACTAGACCTGGAGTCTGGAAGATCTGGGTTCAAGTTTTCTCTCTCATGTCTAACTACATACATACACATGTGCACACATATACATATATGTACATATATAAATTTATATATATTTCTATATATTTAATGTAGTACTCTTCTCACAGTAGGGCTATATTTGTCAGTCATATAAGGTTAATTTTCCTTTATGGCACACAGTAAAGCAGGAAGCCTGTGTAAAATTCTAGTTGCTGTTTTGGAAAAAAATGGTCCTAAAATTTAGAAAACATAAAGCTGTTAAAAGGGAAAAATGAGGAGATGCACCTCAGGATGGAAAACTTGAATTGTCATTTGTTCTTGTGGGTATTCATGAAACATTTACAGAACTGAAAAGGAGACAATGACTCCAAGTGAGAAAAGTGAGGTAACCAAGACTGGCCTGAGACAGCACTCTTGAGGGAGAGTGCCATTAGCCAAGCAAAAGACACAGACACCACCAAAAACACAGGAAAATACTGCAGGGTGGATATTTTACTTGATAGGATGGAGCCGGCATGATGACAAGTTAGACTAGCATGACAGCTTGAGCATGTACAGTAACCAACACCTCTAATTTCTAGGTGATCTTTGTCAATACTGATGGCAGTTATATGTTACAGTTTCATTTTTGTCTTTGCATTCCTAGCACCTACCACCTTAATACATGTAATGAATTGAACCGAACTGAGTTATGACCTGTCTATTTATATGCATTAAGCTCTAAGCACTCAACCTAGATGACCTTTTGAGGTCTCTTCCAGTATCTTATTCTATAAGACACCCTCAAAATTCCTCACAAAAACATCTTACCCAGTGAGACCAAGGTCTCATAATTGGTTTTCACTACATCTTTGTAAAGCTCCTTCTGCCACTCCTCCAAGGTCCTCCACTCTTCCTCCGTGAAATACATGGTCACATCATAAAATGTCACAGGTACCTGGAACCACAAGCATGAAACACATTTACCTTTACTCTTCATCACTAATTCGGAAACAGCTTTTTCTTATTTAAATTCCATTTTTATATCTTTCATTTTCCTGTTGCTATCATTTCTGAAAATAGTCCTTCTTTCTCCTATTCAGTAAACCATCCCTTGTAACAAAGAAAAAGGAGGGAAAAAAGTAGCTCAGCAAAACCAACCAATATATGAAGAAATGAAAAAGCATTTACTAAGTGCTTATGATATGCCAGGTACAGTACTAAGCACTTGTGACAAAAATGCAAAAAGGAACTTACTTTTTCCTGGGGGAGGATAGCATATAGGGGGACTGGTGAACAGGGAGGGGTGTTTTGGTAGGGAAAAATCACAAGGATGGTGAGTCATAGGGTAATTGATTGATATAGTTCCAATCAAGAGTGCAGGACTCCAAGGTGGAAGCTGGTGGTGTTGGGTTCAAGGCAAGAGGGCAGTGTGACAGGAAAATGGTAATGGTATCTGACAACATGACACCCACAGTCCCCCACTTTTGAAAAGAGCGGTGAGGGGTCGATCTTCCCAGATCTTCTTTGGGGTCACTATAATTTTGTTTCTTTTTTATTCTTTCCATTTAAGTTGTTATCATTGTGTGCACTGTTTTCATGGTCCTGTTTACTTCACTGCATCACTTCAGAAACCTGCTTTCAGTTTCATTCCTTTCACATTTCACATATGGTAGATGTTACAAACTGATTTCCACAAAATGTATTTTTATCATTTTAAAGCTGACTTTGATTGTAGCCCACAAGAAGGCTTGGGTGTAAATACATCTTCCAAGAAAACAAGGGCTCTTTTTCCAAATGCAATAATAATGCTGGTGGCAGATGATCAAATAAAGTAATTTACATTGTGAAAAAACCTGAGACCCATTATCCCAGAGAGGCAAAATTTCTCAGGGATATCCTGAGAGGCTTGGGAAAGTCTCATCTCTTCATATCTGTTTCTTCATCTATAAAATGAGGCAGCTGTACTATACCATCTTTAAGCTCCTTTTTGGCTCTAAAATAAAAAATTCTGCTCTTAGGCCTCACCCTGCTCCTCTCTATCAAGCCCAACCCAGGGCCAGGGCCCAGACACTAATCCTCTTGCCATCTTGACCTTCTGTCCTGGCCACCTCAGCACAAGACACTGGTTTATGCTTTACTGAAAACACTGAGCCCATCTACCCCAACCACCCTCTACATTCTTCATATTAAAATCCCTACAGTATCACACCTATTCTCTCCTCCTTTGCTCTAGTCTTAGGAGAAATGCCAAAGCCAAGGCCTCTACTTGTGCCATTGTTACAATCCCCCCGTGTTCTCTGGGAGTTTATTCCTTCAGTCCTTCCCATTCTCCCTTACTTTTGGCCTCTCCTTATCTCCTGGTTCCTCCCCTGCTGCCTATGTTTAGATTTCACACCTGATCCTATCTCCACATGCTAGTCATCCATCTCTCTTATCTGTACTCACTGCCCTTACTTCCTTGACTCCCACCCATTTCTCCACCTCACCACTTGACTCATCCTCTTCTCTTGATTTAACAATCTTTCCTCAGCTCCTGTCCTCTTGGCCCACATGCAGTGTCAGCACCTAATGACACCCCCCCTCCTTTGGGGTGCTCTCTTTGGGGGTTGTCATGACACGGCTCTTCTGGTTAGCCTCCTTTTTGTCTAACCACTTCTCAGTCTCTTTGCCGGATTGTTTTCCAATTCCTACCCCATAAGTGTGAGTATTTTAGGTTTTAGGTATTTCTCATTCTACATTCTTATTGATCTCATCAGTTCGCACATGTCAACTCTCTTTTTTATATAGGTAATTTCCCAATCTACATATTCAACCCTCCTATCTCTCTTGAGCTCTCCATTCTATATCACCTGTTTGCAGATCTCCACTTGGATAGTTCATAGGTATCTCAAACTCAGCATGTTTAAAACAGAACTTGTTATCTTTTCCCCAAACCTACTCTTCCTTGTAACATTTCTATTTCTATTTCAAGGGTATGACCATTCTTCCAGAAAACCTAGGTATGCCATGCTGGAGCTATCCTTGACTCTTCACTCTTCCTCATTCCAAGAATATCTAATTAATCACCAAATTCTCTGTGGTAAGTCAGATGAACAGAATGATCCCCTTCCCTTAGTTAGTATCAATCAAATCTTTCTAACATGTTGATGACAGACAATAAAATAAAAACAACAAGCATTTAAAGTTGTAGGAAGGTCCATTAGGGAGCCAGACATAATTCAAGTACTCTGAAAGACTGACCTATACAGCAAGAAAACTGGATAGAAATAAAAACATTTTGGAAAAGGAATGATTAAATCTGAGCAAATTTAGTATAAAAGATGATGTCACTTTGTCCTTCTGATGAACAGGACCCAAACAGATTCATAAAGTGGCTTAATAATTTTCAAGCACAAAAGCTGTGGGAGTCAATTCCTGTTCTTTTAAAGGGGGAAAAAGGTCTGTGAAAAAGATCTCCGAGTATTTTCCAACTTAGTTGGATTGCTTCTCCTAAAATCCCAAATCATAATTCATTAAAGCCTGAAATGTGGAAATAGGAATTTCCTTCGGGGTGTATGTATTGATTCACTTTTCAGAGCATAGGCAGTATTTACCTGAGGAATTCATAATTCTTGTGTTCAAAGTTGAATCATTTATTCTTCTCGTATTTAAGTAGCCTACTACATAAAAAACTCCCATGCCCCTATTACCCCTAGGATGAAATATGAAATTCTCTCTCTGTTTGGCATGTAAAGCTCTTCACAACATATCCCCTTCCTATCATTTTAGTTTTCATACACATTACTCATCTCCTGGCACTCTGACATGCTGTTCTTCTCTTCACAAAGGATGTGCCACGTCCCATCTCCATGCCTTTGCACTGGCTATGCCCCTGCCTGGAATGCTCTCCTTCCTCATTTCTGCCTCTTTGAATCCCTGGCTTTTTTCAAGATTCAGCTGAACCATCCATCTTCTGGAGGACACCCTTCCTGTTTCTACCCTGAGACCCCAAACCCCAGGTGTGAATGCCTTATGCTTTAAAGTTACTTAGTATGGTATCTACTTTTATCTTGTATATATGCATATTTGTGTACACACTGTCCCCTTCATTAGAATATAAGTTCCCTGAGGGCAGGGGCTATTTCATTTTTGTCTTTGTACCCCAGTGCTTGGCAGAGTGCCAGCACTTGAAAAGCAAACAGTAAAATGATTGATTCGAAAGGCAGTTTCTGAACGGGGCAGACAAGAAAGGGAGTAAGCAGGGAGAGACCAACGTGGGCAGCAGGGTCCAGGAAGGCTTCCTGAGGAGGTGAATCTTGACCTGGAGCCCTTCTAAGGAGTGTCCAGGGTTGGAGGAAGCACGACTGGGAGAAGAATGGCCAAGTGTCGCTGGTGCCAGAGCTCATGGATTGACAAATACCAATCACACTCTGGTCTGAACCACCTAGACAGAGTATGCTTGGGCCAGGTGTGGGCCACTCAGCTGAGAACCTCCCACTGCCCAAGGCACCTGGATGTGGTCTTGAATGCTCTTTCCGCCATACTTTTGGGGGGTGGCATCACTTTTAGGGACCCCTGTGTTCCTGCCCTGAGGAGCCTGCTTTGGCCTTCCTGAAACCATAGACCCAGGCTTGTTTCAAAGCCAGGAAGTTACTAAATAGCTGGGGAGTGTACAGTGATAACGGTGGGGGGGAGGTGAACCTGGAAACAGCAATGGGGAGCAAGGAGTATTCCAGTTCCCCCAGCTAAACCAGGTTCCACTCAAACTGGCAGCTGATGTCCCTGCACATGCTATTCTACCTTTGGCCTCCACACCATAAGACCATTTCCTATCTGTGGAACATTCCTTGTCCTTCTACTCGTTCTTAACTTTCCTATATTCTTGTTTTGTTTTGAGTAAGAATGCCAAAATTCATAGAATTTAGCTCCTCTTCTAACTTGTCTACTTGCTGATATTTAGAAAAAGAATCTCATAATAAAGTACTAGCTAAGTTAACTCATTATTTAAAAACTTGGTGATTCTTAGCACCTTCTGCCCGTTGGGTATTTTGGGGCTTGATGAAATCAGTATATTATCTACCACCAGTATTATCTGGGGGATGCTATCATCTATAGTGAACCCTTCTTCCACCGGGACTCTGTTGGATATTCTCCTTAACAGAGGTCAACTCCTCCAGCTAATGAACGTTTGTTTCTCTCAGTTGATTAAGTTGGGTTTTGGGTTTTTTTGTTTTTTTTTTGCCTCGGTTGATATTTATAATCAGAGCTTCACTGAACAAAGTGCTCTCTGCTGACACTTGTTTGATGCACTTGTTAAGATGGAGATGAAAGACGCCTTGCTGGGGGGTGGCCTATAAAGCTGCATTCTGCTGCAAACAGATACTTTTTAATAATCTGTAGAAACAAACAGTGGGATCCTAGGTCTGTACACTAGTGATTTCCAGGCTCTTCTAGCGAAGACCTTTTCTAGTGTCAGTGTCTTCGTCCCCCTCGCACAGAGTAGGCGCTTTAATAAATGCTCCCTCCCCGGCTCGGGGCGGGGTGGCTGAGAAGGGCCGCAGGCCGCTGGCGGATTTCAGTTTTATTTCACCAACTGCCGAGGCCAGAAAAATTCATCCCCACGTGGCCGCCCGGCGGGCCCGCCCTGGCAAAGCGCGTTCGGGCGGCCAGGCCCACGCTGGAGGCCGGGCCGGGCGTTCCCAAAGCCCCTTCCCTCGGGCCGCGGCCCCTGCCTCTGTCCTCCCACCCCGAAGCTTGGGGTCAGGGGAAGCCCACAGGGTCCGGGAGGCCTGGGTTCAAATCCCGCGTCAGTTTTGCGTCATTAGCTCCGACTCCGTGTCTCTGGGCCTCAGTTTCCCCTTCTGGAAAGCGAGGGGGTGGGGCCTCCACGGCTTCTCCCAGCTCCCTCCCAGCTCTGGATCTGGGATCCTCGGGTACCGGGCCCTGAGGGCGGGAGCTGCCCTCCCGCCGGTCGCGAGCCCTCCCCGCGAGCTCCGCCTCCCTCCCGCCTCGGGTCCCCGGCCTCCTGCCCCGCCTCCGGCCTCTACTGCCCGGCCCTTACCGGAGCAGGCACCCCAGGGGCCATGGCCTCTTCGTCTCCTCCGGCCCGGAGCCGGTTATCGGGCGGGCCCAGAGCGACCTCGCTGGCAGTCCACCACGCCCGCCCCAAGCGCCGCGACCCGCGCAACACCCGGGATACGCGCCCCGCCGGCCGAGGGGCGGGGCTGCCCTTCCCCGCCTCGAGACCCCTCCACCCTCCGCCCTCACAGCGCCCCCTGCGGCCGGAGGGGAAACGCCCCTGAGAAGGACCCCGCCCCGCCCCTCAGCCCGGGCTTCTCCCGGCCCCGCCCCGCCCCGCGCCTCCTGCCTGGGCTTCTCCAGGGCCGCAGATCCTTTCCATCCAGCTCTGACCCGCTGCTGGCCTGCATCCACCACATTCAATTCTATTGAAAGAACAAAATAAATTTAGTAAATACCTACTATGTGCAAAAAACACAGTGCTAGGCACTGGAGAGACAGAAAAACCTGAGTCTGGCTTCAAGGAGCTAACATTCTACTGGTGGGGGATACAACAAATAAAGAAATAGACACAATTACGCATCATATATATATGAAGACATATATACTGTTATGCATAACATATGCATAAAGTTTAAGAAGCCCTGGTCTGAGGGAAATTTTTTTTGGTTTAAGCTGTATTTTGATCACTATCCCTTAATGGGGAAGGAGTGTCCCAAGCTATGCATCCAAGTCTCGACAATGAATATACATGGGAAATAAATCCACGTATCCAAACAGATATCAAACAGAAATCTAGAGGAAGTATAGATATGAGGATAAATGCCAGATAATACATAGAGTGAACGATCCCTCTCACTGAGAGTGAAATAGCTCAGCCCAACCAAGAGAGTCTCAGGTCTCAAGTTTCTAACATTTGTTACAAAACTAAACACTCTTCAAACTCCAGGAATATCCCTCATATTCAGCAGATGACCTCTTTTCCTGTGTAGCTGTGGAGCCCAAAGCCATCTGGCAAAATCTCCAACCCTCCTTTGCTTCCAAACATTTCTGCACCTGTCCTTTCCTTTCCAACCTACAATAGCTGTGTCTGCACCTCCATCACCACTCCACAACAAGCTCCTCTACATCTTGGCTTCTGCCCAGAGGTTTGTTTTTTTTTTTTCTTCCTCTCTAGGAACTTGAAGGAAAAGCATACCTTCTCTCTGCAAGCTGGAAGCCTGAGCTTCTCTCAAGCTCTCACCAGCTCCTCCCTTCACTAAGCAAGAACTTTTTTGTCTTTCAAACTGCTTGTGAGTGATTTCAGTTCAGATAATCACACCTTGCCTCCTTAACTCCCTAGAACAATTAGATAACCCCACTCAATTTTCTTTTCCTTCTCTTACTAGCAACTTTCTCTTATAATTTTATTTAATCTTTTCTTACTTTTTTTTTGACTTGCCAACTACTTTCTCCTTGAATCTTTCTTCCTTAGGGCTCTTACTCTGGTGTACTTTTTCAGAATGTCCTCCTTAAATCAAATTGTTCTCTAACTTTTAAAATTTTTTTCCCCAAATTTCTCCTCCTTAATCACTAGCCTTTTTCATGATTCCAACCCCTTCAAACCACCTTAATGATTATTAATAAAAATAACTTTAAAAGACTTAAGAACTCTGACCAACCACTCCCAAGAAACTGATGATAAAGCATGTTACCCAATTCCTAAAAGAGGTGATAGATCCAAGGTGCAGAATTAAGCATATATTTTTGGTAAATAGTTGGATTTGTTTTACCTTACTATGCTTATTTGTTACAAGAAATGCGAACTTTTTTATTTAGGAAGGATTTTGGGGGGAAGATGCGGGCTACTGATAGTATTACCCGCCAAAAGAAAAGAGGATTATTGAAACATTTTAAGAAATACATAAGAGAACAGAGTTCAGAAGGAAACACAAATAGGACAGCTTTGAAAAAATGTTGAATTTATTATATATATTCTTAAAAAGCAAGTTATACATAAGAGATTAACAATTTTGCATATAATCTTTTTTTCTGTTCTACTTTGTATATGGAAATGTTTCTTTTGGGTATTAATTAAGATTTTAAAAAGTTAAAAAAGAATGTAAACACCTTTAATCAATTGATCAACAAACATTAATTAAGCACCTGCTGTGAGCTAGGAACTGTATTAAGCACCCAGGATACAAAAAAAGGCAAAAGACAATCCCTGCCTTCAAGGAGCTTACAGTCTAATGGGGAAGACAACATACAAACAAATATATGCAAAGCAAGCTATATACTGGGTAAATAGGAAATAATTAACAGATGGAAGGCACTAAAATTAAGAGGGAATAGGGAAGGCTTCCAGTAAAAGGGATTTTAGTTGGGACTTAAAGGAAGTCAAGGAGATCAGTAGTTGGATTGGAGTAGAGGAAGGAAAGTTCCAGGCATGGGGGACAGCCAGAGAAAATGCCCAGAGCTGAGAGATGGGCCATCTTGTGCAGGAGAGCAGCATCAGTGGATTGAAGAGTATATGTTGGGGAGGAAGAAGACTGGAAAGGTAGGAGGGGGCTAGGTTATGAAGGGCTGTGAAGATAGACTTTCCCATTGTGGATTCCCAACACTTAGTTCAATGTCTGTCACAAGATAGGTGCTTAATAGATGCTTGTTGATTGAACCAGGTCCTCAAATCACTTAAGATGGGAGAGTGACTTAGACGTAGGTAACAGGGAAATTGGGTGGTTTAAATGAATGTCTACAGGTCATAAAGGAATATTGGGCATGGCAATTATTGATGTGGCAGTAAGAATGCAAAAAACATGGCACTACCTTCTCCTAGTCCTGGAAGTAGAGAGAGTTGGGGGGGGGGGGTCTCCATCTTACTGACTCAAGTTTGAAGGAATAAATTGTCCTTCTGAGGTTGGACGTCTGTTAAATCAAGGATGTAGGAATCAGGAGCCCTTAAAAGAAAGAGGGTTACTTCTTCCACTGAGGTACTTAGTGGTTGTTTAAGAAATGCTTGTTGTGGAGTGGTGATGGAGGTGTAGACACAGCTATTTTAGGGTGGAGAGGAAGGTATAGGTGCAGAAATGTTTGGAAGCAAAGGAGGGTTGGAGATTTTGCCAGATGGCTTTGGGCTCCCTGGCTAAGCAGGAAAAGAGGTCATCTGCTGAATATGAGGGATATTCCTGGAGTTTGAAGAATGTTTAGTTTTGTAACAAATGTTAGAAGGAAACATAATATGATAGGGAACGAAAAGAGAACAAAATAAGTGAATGCTGAGCACCAGTTAGGATCCATTTGAAGTTAGCTTGAGATCGTGTTGGGTCTAGTTAATATGATTTTGAGACTTCCTTCAAATACTGTCCTAGACGCAGGAGCGAGCAAAGCAGCAGAGGAGGAGATGATCCACAATGGGGGATTAATAGGAGTCTTGGGAGTATGCAGGAAGCCAGGTCATGGTAAACTCGGAATGGTGGGCTGAGCCTGTATTTTATGAGAAGGGCAAAAGGAAATTACTGAAGCTTCCAGTCAGGGGAGTAATGCAGTAAGACAGTACTGAAGAAACAATAATCTTGCAACTGAATTTTGAGAGGACTGCAGCGTGGCAAGAATTAAGGCAGAGATAGTCTTGACTGGTGGACAAAGTCTTGTCCATTACTGTTAATTTCGAGATGTGCCTTGAATGCATCGTAGTTTCGAATAACAGAAGATGCTCAGTAAACATTATCAGAATGAATTATGATTGCTTTGATTGCATAATTGTCTGAGCTCTGACAGTTTCTTTTCTTTTTAAGGACTTTGGGGAAGTTAGTATGTTGTGGTCCTTTTCACTTAAGGGGCCCTGGGACAAAAGGGAAGCCAGGGTGAAGAATCAAGGAGTTGGATGTGATTCCACAAGTGTCTGCAGGCTTCTCTTCTTTATAACAACTGACATTTATCTAGTGCTTTTGAAGGCTGCAAAATGCTTTACAGGCATTATCTAGTTTGAGCCTGACAATAATCCAGGGAAGTAAGTCTATAGGTATTGTTATCTCCAGTTGACAGAGTTAAATTGAGGAAGTAGAAGAGAAGAGTAAGTAAATGGCATGCTCCTAATCAGAAAGCTGATACATTTCAGGGGAGTAATCCAGCTTTGTGCCTCTTTTACTCCAATCCTGTTTTTTTTTTTCCCCACCACATCACAATGCTCAAACCCAAGCCCCTAACACTGATTTTCTGTGTCTGCTGCTGCAAAAATCTCACTTTTCAATAAAATCCCCACAGTCACTTTTCTCCAGCCAAACAAATTTGGTCTTGCTAGATTTCCCCAGGACACTTTCCTGTTGGAAATGTTTCCTAATTTCTTTCAAACCCAGCTCAAAATCCTTCATGAAGCCTTACTGGGTATATTTCAGTCAGAGGTTCCCCTACTCATTTACAGGGTGTTCTCAAAGCTTTTACGTGAACAGTGATTGCTCGGGTGTCCTTGCCTACCTCCCCCTGGGATTTCTATGTTCCTTTGTATATCGTAGGTGAGGAATCTTTTCCTGAATGAGAGCAACACCACTTTTTCTATTTCAATCACGTCTTCCCTCACTATCTAGTACAGACACTGCCTCAGACTGGGGGAGATGGTACACACCTGAGAGATGTGCCCAGATTCAGAGATGCTCTATCTATTGTCAGTAATAAACCACTTCAGGAAAACTATCCCACCACTCAGTGCCTCAACAGCAGCTGGATTCATTCAGGTCCACATTCTACAGATTCTTTCAGGTTCTCCAGATGATCCCCAGCATCATCCATTCAGGCTTGAGAATAGCAGGAGAAAGATTTCCATTTTTGTCAGCCTGATAATTTCATATTTAAGTTTATTGAGAGATTGAGTCTCAGGCTTTCAGGAAGAAATTCTTTGGCTTGTAGAGAGTAATGAAAAAATAATAGGGGGTTTCAGCAATGGATAGATAGTATTTGTGACATCCTGGTAAGCTCTTTAGAGCCAGCTTATGAGCTATATAAGACACACATCATTACTTATTAGTTATTGCTTCTTTTTGAAAAAACAAACAAGCAGAACCCAGCATTAGCCAGTTTCATTACTCACTTTATTGGCTAGATTGTGCTGAACAGTTGTGATGTGAATAGGATAACCTTCTGCTTGGTCAAAGAGGAGACCCATGACCAAGAAGTGGAAGTTATAGAGAGCCTGATTCTGGTTCAAGCAAAGGAGATGCTTCCCAACAATGAGATCTATGCCAGGATGGAATGGCCTGCCTCATGAAGTAGTGAGGTCCCTGTTACTAGAGATATTCCAGCAGAAGTTGAATGACCAAGGATATAGCAGAATTTGGACTAGATGATGTTCTTTGCCTTTCACAATCACACTTTGCCAGCCATAGGTTCCATCTCAACCCCAGTCAAGGTCCATCAGTCCATAAAGCAGGCCCTTGTAGTGCTGTTTCTTGGTGTGCACCTTAATGTGGTCTGTGAGTTCAGACTGACTGGGGAATGCTCTATCACACTCAATGCAGCAGAATAACCTGGTCTTGCTGTGTCTTCGCTGGTGGACTCTCATGTCTGCTTTCATTCGAAAGCTCTTGCCACACTCTGGGCACTGGAAGGGCCTTTCACCTGTGTGTATTCTGACGTGATCAGTGAGGTAATGATGCGTGGTAAAGCCTTTACCACATTCACTGCAGGAAAATGGCTTTTCTTCTCTATGCCGGCGCTGGTGGGCCTTCATGTCCCCCTTTACTCGGAAGCTCTTGTCACATTCTGGGCACTGAAAGGGCCTCTCCTCTGTGTGCAGGGGCAGGTGCTTCAGCAGATGCCCCTTCTGGTGGAAGCTCTTGTCACACTCTGGGCACTGGAAGGGTCTCTCTCCCGTGTGGAGGCGCTGGTGCCTGAGTAGTCGGGACTTTTGGGCAAAGTTCTTTTCACACTCAGTGCACTGGAAGTGTTTTTTTGGCCTATGAACTCTAATGTGATTGGCTAGCTGAGATTTGTGGGTGAAGCCTTTGCTGCACGCATTGCAGCGGAATGGTAAGGGCCCAGACCAGTTCTGGTTTTGAAGATCATGTCCACGGCTTTCCTGTTGTCTTGAACCTGAAGATCCAGAATCCCCTGGAATTAAAAACAAAGATCTAGTCAGGAACTCATGGCTGCCCTACAGAAGATCCAAAGGACTTCTTCCAAGGGACCAGGGACCCAGTTTAAATCTTGGCTCTGGTGCTTTCTACCTATGTGACCCTGGGTACATCAATCAATCAGCGTTTACTTCTGAATGAGGTTGGCTTTGCCTTATCTGTAAAATAAGGGGGCTGTATTTGATGGTGTGAGGTCTCTTGAAACTTTAAATCTATGAACCTACTACAGTCAATTAAGCAACAAGCATTTATTAAGCACCTACTATGTGTCAGACTTAGGGGATACAAATAAAAAAATGAATTAGTCTGTACTCTAATGGGGCTTAAATTCTGTGGGGAGAGACAAGCATATATTTTAAAAGTATTCAGAATAAACACACAATAAATACAAGGCAGTTAAAAACAAAAATAGTTAGGGAGGGAGGGAAGGGTTCCAGAAAGGCTTTGTGTAGACAGTGGTATTTGAAAAGAGTTTTGAAGGACATGAGGGATTCTAGGAGGCAGAGTTAAGGTGAGAACTGAGTATATTCCAGGCACGGAGGGCAGCTAGTGCAAAGGCCTGGAGAAGGCAGATGGAGTTTTGTGTGCAGCTTGGTGAAAAGGTCAGTTTGGCTATACTGTAGAATGAGGGAAAAGGAGGAAGGCACAAGGAACCTGGAAAGAGAGGTTAGTGTTAGGCTATGAAGACCTTTAAAACAAGAGAAGTTTAACATCTGAGCTCATGGAACATTCCTTTGGCAGCTATATATGGAGGTTGGACTGGAGCTGGAATGGTCCTGAGGTAGGGTGATCAGTTATGAGGCTACTGCACTGATATCAGTTAAGAGGTGAACAGGCCTGAATTAAGGTTGCAGTTGTGTAAGTAGTGAGAATGGTACATGTGGGAAGAGATGTTATGGGGTAGAAACTGTAATATTTGGCAACTAGTCAAATATATGGGTGATGGAGACTAAGAATTTGAGGATAACACTGAGGTTATGAACCTGGGAGACTCCAGAATGGTGGTACCCTCAGCAAAAAACAAAAACAAAAACAAAAAGTTTGAAAGAAGAGAGGTGGGGAGGGATAATGAGCTGTTTTGGACATTTTGGGGTTTGAGATATCCATGGAAATCCAGTCTGAAACATTCAACAGGCAATTTGTAGAGCTCAGGAAAGAAACTGGGGCTGGGTAGCTAGATCTTGGAGACATCTGCATAGGGATAATTAAACTCATGGAAACTGATAAAGTCACCAAGACAAAAAATATGGAGAAGAGGGGCCAGGATAAAGCCTTGGGATATACCCACATTTTATGGATGATAACTAGATAGGAGAAGTAGGAGAGAATAGTGTCACAAAAGTGTCACAAAAAAACAACAAAGATAATCCAGGAAGAGAGAGTGCTCAATAGTGTCAAATGCTTCAGAGATGTAGAGCAGGATGTGGACTGAAAAAAAGGCCCATTTGAAACTGGAAGTGAGGAGATCATTGGTAATTTTAGCAAGAGCAGTTTCAGTGGAGTGAAGTGAGAAGCCAGATTGCAAAGGGGTGAGGAGATGAGAGAAGAAGGGGCAACAAGTCTAGATGCTTTCCCCCTAGGAGTTTGTCTGGGAAAAAAGGAGGGGTATAGGAGGAAACCATAAGGTCCAGTGAAGGTTTTTTGATGACTGAGGAGACTTGGACACGTTTGGAGGCAGTAGGGGAGGAACAGTAGATAGGGAGAAAGTGAGGATTAGAAAGTATGAGAATAGATGAGAGCAGGGCTAGTCTGCTGGAGAAGACAGGAGGGGATGGAAAAAAGGTCACATTGGTTAGAAGGACCACCTCATTATCAAAAAAAATGAAATCAAGGAAAAGAGAATGGGGGATATCGTCAAGGGGTTTGGAGAGAAAGAGAAGGGGAGCAGAGGGAGATCACGGCCTTAAATTCTTCAGTAAAGTAAGAGGTGAGGTGCTTGGGTGAGATGGTGGGGTTAGGAGGGAGTATGGGAGATTTTGTATGAACAGAAAGTTTGGAGCAGAAGAGGGAAACACTTTGAATGGAGTAAAAGGATTTCCTTGCTGCAGCGAGGGCCCAGTTGAGGCTAGAACTCTGTGGTAGCCCCGATTATCACGGTTGTGTGACTTCCTTCAGCAGCACATGAGGAACAATCGAAGAGGAGCATGATGAAACAATTTAAAGTTGCGGTGTGACAATGGGTAAAGGGCTTGAGGGATGGTATAGGACAGTGTGGAGTTGAACTGGTGAACTATAGGGTGAAGACTGAAGTGGGGAAAGTGGAGTCAAAAAAGGAGTAGTAGTCTGAGAAAGTACAGAGGGGTGGAGGGATTGGAGCTCATGATGAGGGACAAGAATAGATTTAGAAGGGGAAAAGGCTAAGGAGAGAGAGTCATAGTTAGATCCAGGAACAATCCTAGGGCCATGTCTTATTTATCTTTCCATCTCTCCTAGCATTGATCCCAGGACTCAGGATAACATGGCATGATGGAAAGTGCACTGAATTTGGTATCTGATGACCTGGGTTTGAATCCCAGCTCTTCCATATATGAATGACATGACTACTCTAAACTTCAGTTGGATTAAGGCCAAGGTTGCTGTGTGAACCAAATGGTACGTTGCACAGTCTTCTGTAACTATAAAACTCTATATTAACGTAGGACATATTAAATGTTTCTTGAATTTACCTCTCCATGTCCTACCAGAGTTAGACTCTGACTTGGCCTATACTGAAATTCTCTGCCCTGCTCCCTCCAATTTCATTCCCAGTGAAGCTACCATTCTTTCCTTAAGTTCATTTCTTCATTAACAACCAAGTATAATCATTCTGCTTAGACAAGGTTTAAACTGGATGCACATAACCAGGTGAGACATGACCCAAAGGACATAAGGCTCTGACACATGTCTTGTAACACCAAACCTCAAATGTGTGAATCCACAGATTCCTCTCTCTGAAGGAAGACACGAAGGCATGGAGAGTGTTTATGAATGAACAACAGTAAAGATCCTTCCACACACTTTGTAATAATTGACATGTACATTGTTCTTTACTTGGTACATTTTATATATTACCTTATTTGATGTTTGTAATAATCCTGCGAGGTATTGTACACATAATACTTTGTGTGGGATCAAAACATCATTCTTATTTATAGATGAGAAACTGAAGTTCAGAGAAACTAAGTGAGTTGCCCAGGGCCACACAGCTGATAAAAGGGAGAAGTGGACAGGCAGTGTCACCTTGGTCCTTGTGGGTGCAATTCTCTTTCCACAAGGCTGGGCGGCCTAACAGTCATGAGAAGAGAAAGATCAGGAAGAACTAACTCCCTACCTTCTCCCTACCTGCCCAGATTCAAAACTGCTCCAAGTCAAGTTCTGTTGAGATTGTTCTTTCTCCAAATTCTTACTCACGTTGGGACAAATGTTTCCAGCAGAAAACTTTGGTTACTGGAAATGGTGAACCTACTCTTGGGAAAGAAAATCAGATAAGAGTGCAATCTTTTTGTTCTGGAGTGGGTACAATTAGTCCTATCTTAGAACTTTTATCTTGTTTTTCAATTTCAAGTATGCTTATTTTAGATAACTAAAAAGATAGTAGAAATCTCATTAACTTAATAGGTAAAAAAAAAAAAAACCAAACCTAAGCCTTCTCTTTCCTAACTTACAGAGCTAACTAGGAAGCCAACCTTTCCTCATCTAGGAGCAGAATCTTAAATCTTATCCTCTACAGAGTTCTTGATTTATTTATCTATTGGAAAGCAGCAGCAAAAAATGAAGTAATATCTTTCCTCATAATGCTGAATATTGGCCCCCTCAACCAATGACAGGTTTCATTGTACTTCTTAGAATTCAGGAGTTCAGATTTCCCAATCGTGATAAGAAAAACAGAAGAGAGCTCATCTAGGTGTATTTAAGTGAAGGTCAGTGCCCAGTGGTGTTGTTTTAGGTCTGTAGCCCTCACTAGGTGGTTTCTTTATGGAATATTTTGAAGCTTAGCCTTGCCCTGATTTTGAACTCCAGCTTAGCCCGTCATGAAAGGAAGACTTACTGAGTCTAAGAAGGAGGAGAATCAGAACATGCCATCCTCAGTTTCACTCCTTTTGCCCTTTCTAACTCACCCCAAAACAGCTGCACCTCTGTACTCTTCAAGTCAAGATGTTCATTACCACCAGTGCAGACTGCAAAGTCTCCGGTTTCCGAGTTCCCTTGATGGCTGATGAAGGACTCTTCCTGTTCAATCTGGGTTATCGAGTCTGGCCTGGGGATGGCACAGCCTGGACAGAGGCCACAAAGAAGCAATTAAGTTTCTTTTCCTTCAGCTTATATTAGAGATACGAGGTATAGGAACACATATACAAAAATCTAGGGTTCGGGTGCTATATAGCAGAATATACTATATAGCAGAATAACTGCTCACACTGTAGGAGAGGGATGTCTAACTCATTTGACTCATAGCTACCAATGAGCTGTTTGATTTCTCCACATTGCCCAAATTTCTAAAAGGACTGTGCAGTTTATGTCTATTTAATAAAGTCAACTAAAATTGTTTTTGTTTTAAGAATTCCTAGAGACTGACTTATGGGGATTCAAGATAAGCTTGGCTATCACAAAACAAAGCTTCAAACTGCTATGCTTTGAAACTAACTGACCTCGGCTGAAATGTTCCCAACAGTGTTCTTAGTGGCAGTTTCCGTTGCCCCTTGGTTCAACGGGATTGGGACTGTGCTGTTCAGAATGAAGAAACAGCATTCCTCCCCCCTCCTGCCGCCCCATTCACATTTATATGGAGCTTTAAGGTTTTAAAAACATTCTATTTACCACAACCTTGTGAAATTGGCATCCCAGTCATTAGCCCCATTTTAAAGATAAGGAAACAGGCTCTTCAACATGCTGTAATTTTGATTTGTTCAAGGTCCGTACTGTCTATAATAGAGCTGCCATTCAAACCTGGGTTTCCTAATTCTTTCTGCTCTAGGTCCTGCCCAGTTTCTACTATACCAAGTTATTCCTAGACAGTTTATGAAGGTAAGTTGTAAAGTATGAACCATAGGTGGAAAAAATTATTTGGGTCCTGAGTTAGGCTTCCAGTATTGGAAGACGGTAGTAGACATGGGGAATCTGATAAGCAGAGATTGCCATGGTTCAGATTATCATTTTAATCTCTTCAAATCTAGTTTCTATCCTAATCTCGTCAATAGGTATTTATTAAATGTTTACTATATGACAGGTATACAGATACAAATACAACGAATGAAATAATTCCTGCACATGAGGAGCTTATATTTTCCCAAAACTGTTACCGTGAAGGTGATCAAAAATTTTCTGGCTATTGTCAGCTATTATTCATTTCATATCGTCTTTGAACTTTCTGCAACTTTTGTATGCAAATCTTGCTTTTGAAAACTTCCTGATTCCTCTGTGAAGCCTTTCCAGAGTCCACTCTAGACAACAGTGTTCTCTACCACACCTGTACATTTACAGCACTTGTTACTGGATATATGTGTTTGGCAAGTAATCATTGTATTGCCTCCTGATCTCTTTATACTGATGTAGTCCACTGTTATTTGCATTTTCAAATATTTATGTCCTGCTTGTTTACATTTTAGGTATCCCTAAATAGACAAGTTCTTTGAAAAGTACTGTGTCATTTATAGTGATAAATACTTCTGGTCATACACACTTCTATATATCTTTAGAATTTCAAGTACCCTTCACAAAGTAGGAATGATTATCAAATGAATGTCAAATATTAGTCATTTGATATAGGTGAGTAGGAAAGATGTATGAAATACCTGTTTGGTATGCTAGATTTGGTATGTGGTTATGTGTGTGTGGCCAATATTTATATTAGCACTTTTTGTGGCAGCAAAAAACTGGAAACAAAGTGGGTGCCCATAAACTGAGGAATGGCTAAAAAAAAACCCCTACAGTATATGAATGTAGTAGATTTATATTGAATTTAGGAAATGTTGATTATGAGGAATTTAGGGAAAAGAGAAGATTTTTATCGATTGATGCACAGTTAAATAAGCAGAACTAAAAGAATAAACACAATGACAATATAAATGAAAAAGATCACTAAAAGGAAGTTAAGTTCTAAGTAACTAGAAAATCAATAATGAAGCTCACAGTATGTGATATAATCTGCTCTCCTGAGGCTAACATTTGATTGTCTTATTTACAGATTTGCTTTTCCTTCTCAAACTCCAGAATCTTGGGTTTCTTGATCGTAAGAAAAACAGGACAGAGCTCCTATCTGTGTATGACACACATGATAGTGAAGTTGTTTGGGGTCAGGAGCTCCGGACAGTTGATCTCTTCACCTGCTCTCCTGAAGCCCAGTCCTGCCCTGACATCAAACCCCAGCTCAGCTGGACATGAAAGGACGATTTCAGTCCCAGAAGGAGGAGAATCAGAATGTGTCCTCCTCAGTTTCTCTCCTTTCACTTCTTCTCACTCACCAGAAAACAGCTGCCCCTGTGTGCTCTTCATGTCAGGATGCTCATCAGCCCTGGAACCAATGGCCAGTTCTCTGTCCAAGTGTCCCTCATCTCTGATGAATGGCTCTTCCCCTTGTTCAATCTGGGTTATCAAGTCTGGTTTGGGAATGGCATAGCCTGGACAAAGGCCACAAAAAGAAGTTAAGTTTATTTTTCTTAAGATCCCTAGAACCACAAGTTTTGGGAATACGTATAATAAATGTTGCTATAAAGCAATAAATGTCTGCTATAAAGCAGAATGACTGACTGTACCCTGGCATTAGGTTCCTAGAGAGATGCCCCACCTATCTGGCTCTAAGCTGTCCCTGAGTTAAGTTCTTCACGTCTTTTGTGTACAGTGATTGAATAAGAGCCATTATAATTATTTTTGTTTTTCAAGTTCCTCCATAGTCAGTAACTTAGTTGCCAGGAAATATCTTTTGGCTCAAATTATTGGCTACTATTCATTTTATATTCTCTTTGGCCTTTCTGCCACTTCTGCTTATCGAATGTATATATTTTTAAACCAGACTATCCTCCTGTGTGTACTCTTTCTAGTATCCTCAAGATCTCAATTATTTTTTCTTTCCCTGTACATTTGATGCACTTATAGTATGTATTTGACAATTAATCAGGTACTGTCTCCTGACATGAACTTTATCACTGTAGTGAACTGCTATTAATCTTTTATATTGTTATTTGTCTTTATATATTTATATCCTGTTAATGATCTCCCCAAACAGAACACAACTTCCTTGAGGACAAATCTTATCATATTTTATATTGCTATGTATTCCCTATAGAACTTAATCAAGTGCCCTTCACAGTAGGCACAAAACAAGCATTAATCAAAGGATTGACTGGTGGTGTTAATGTTCCTCCATGCTGCTGTAATAGGCAGACAGACACAAAGGGTATATGGAATTCTTGCTGGACACATTGGGGAAAATTTTTGTGAGTTATTATGCACTAAAGATGTTAGAAGGGAAAACTAAAAGATACACGAGAGCTTAGAAAATTTGAGTTGCCATTTTTTGTTAGGAGATATTTTGGGAATCCTGAAATGAGAAGCAGTGAGATGATTTGTAATAGTATCTGAGATATTAGCCAGGTTCAGTAAACATTACTGGAAAAAAAAGATGCTATAGGTTGTAAAGGATATTTTATAGATCTGAAGTGACAGGGAGGCCAGGTTGGACTAGCATAACAGCCTGTGTAGGGACAGTGAATAAACCTTTCCAATTCTAGGCGATTCATTTAAACTAAATAATGATGGCTGCCATTAAAGTTTACTATTTCCTTTTTGCATTGTATCTTATCCTTCTAATGTGTATTGTGTTGAACAATATTATTATCTATCTAGTCATTAAGGTCCTAAGATTTTTACAAAATGTGAAATTTATCCTGTATATACTAAAATATTTGGAGCACCAATTTCTGTGTTAACACAAAACTGGAAACAAGACAGGCACCCATTGATTGGTGAACAAGTGAACAAATAAAAACTCCATAAGAAATAAAGAAAGACGGAGGGATTCAGAGAAACATTGGAAAACTTGTAGAAATGGTAGAAAGAACTAGGACAGCAACATATAAAGTGACAATTATATAAATTAAAACAACATTAGAAAGATACAGAATTCAGATTAATTGCAATGTTCAATCTTGATCCAAGAGAACAGACAACACAATACACTTCCCTTTACTCGGTAAATAAGGAGACCAAAGGAGCAGAATGTTACATACACTGTATATGAAGTCATTTTGCTGATTTGTTTTGCTTAACTGTTTTTATTTGTTACAAGGGAAGGTGGTACCAATACTTGGAAATTACTGCTATTAAAAACAAAAGGTATAATAAAACATTTAAATAAAGTGAAATTGTGGAAAGCATCGATCAGGATGAGGTTTCCAGAACAACTTCCAGGCTGTGAATGGAAGAGCTGGACGATCTTTGGAGGCCTATTCCAGTATCTGATTCTATAAGACACCCTCAAAGTTCCTGATGAAAACATCTTACCCAGTGAGAACAAGTTCTCATAGTTGGTCTTCATGACATGCTTGTAAAGCTCCTTCTGCCACTCCTCCAGGGTTCCCCACTCCTGCTCCGTGAAATACATGGTCACATCATCAAATGTCACAGCCACCTGGAACCACAAGCATGAGCCATACTTTCACTTTGCATTACCAATTCAGAAAATATCCTTTTCTATTTCATTTCTTTCACATAAGGTAGATGCTATAAACTGATTCCCATCAGGTATATTTTAAATACTTTCATCACAGCCAAAAAGGAGAAGCCCTGGGCGCTCATCTTCCAAGATTGTAAGGCTTTTCTTCCCAAGTGTGTGGTAGCAACAATATGGACAGCAAATGGTTAAGCAAAATTGATGCACTCTGTGAAAGGTTTGTGGAGGTAAACTCCAGGGGGATGACCTCAGAACCTCAGGAAAATCACCTGATTTCTCTGGCAGGTGGTGATGATCTCCAGCTCCATCCCTGCTCTAAATCCCCAAATCCCGGGGCTGCTGAGCCTCTGCACCAAGAGCACAGAAATGGGGATCTCTCGCCTCTCTCCCTTTCCCCGAAGTTATGGGCTGTCACTTGCAGTCTCTCCTTAAACTTCTCATAGATCCTCCTCTCAGCTGAGAAGCTGAAAAAAAAAACCAGGCCATTTTCTGGGAGCGTCTTCTCTCTTCATCTCACCTCACTAGGATGCCATGTTCTTCACCTCTTTCTCACATGAAGAGATGGCCTTTCTCCTCGAAAAGGCAGCTCCTTGCACTTTGTATCCCATCCCATCCTACCTTCTCCAGCAAATTGTCACCTCTGTAATCTTCGAGTTAGCTATCGTCCTATATCTTGCCTCTCTTTAGTGGATAAATTTTGTACAATCTGTGCCTGGCTTTTGTTCTCATCATTCAATTAAAACTGGTCTCTCCAAAGTTACCAATTTCTTAATTGCCAAATTTTTCTCAATTCTCATCCTTCGTGACCTCTCTGCAGCTTTTGACACTGTCTATCATCATCTTCTCCTTGACGGTTTCTCCAGGTTTTCATGACACTGCTATCTCAGTTCTCTTCCCACTTGACCTGACCACTCCTCAGTCTCCTTTGCTGCATCTTGGTCCAGGTCCCACCCTCTAACCACGGGTGTCTCCCCAGCTCTGTCCTAGGTTCCCTTGTCTTCTCTCTCTACACTATTTCACTTGTTGATCTCATCAGCTCCCAAACATTTCATTACCATCTTTATGTAGATGATTTCCAGATCTACTTATCCAATTTAAACTCCTCTCCCGACCTCCAGTTTCACACCTCCAAATGCCTATTGGACAACCTGAAATGGCTATCCCTAAGACATCTTAAACTCAATATGTCCAAAACTGAACTCATGATCTCTTTTCTCCCAAATGCTCCCCTCTTCTTAGCTTCCCTATTACTGTGCAGGGTACCACCATCCTCCCTCCCAGTCATCTGTGCTTACAAACTGGTGTCATCATTGACATTTCACTCTCTCTCATCCCTAAATCCCATCTGTCCTCAAGGACTGTTTATTTTACCTTCCTAGCAGATTGTATACATGACCCCCTTTCTCCTCTGATGCTGCACCAGGACTACCGAAGTAACCTGATGGTGGGTCTGCAGGCCAAAAGTCTCTCTCCACTCCAGTCTGATAGTCCTCTCAGCTTAGTTCTGACCATGTAACTCCCCTGCTCAAGAAGCTTCAGAAACTCTCTATTACCTCCAGGATAAAAAAAAATATAAGCTCTTTTGTCTGGCTTTGAAAGCTGGCCCCTTCCCATCCTTGCAGTCTCCTTGTCTTACCTGATCCAGACTCTGGTCTCCCAGGTGTTCTTCTTAGGACACTCTGTATCTCTCAGCTCGGGCATTTGCTCTGAGGTCCCCCTATACCTAGAGTGCTCTCCCTCCTCATCCCTGCCTCCAGGCTTCCTCTAAGCCCGACTTAGATCCCTCCTTCTACAGGAAGCCTTTCTCAACCCCTGTGAAGTCTAGCATCTTCTGATTTTTTTTCTGTTTATTCTCTATGTGGCTTGTTTGTCCGCGGTTGTTTTCGCGTTGTTTTCCCCAGTTAGACTGAGCTTCTGGATGGCCTTTCTTTGTATCCCCAGAGCTTAGCAGCACCGTGCCGGGCACATAGTAGGCGCTTAATAAATGCCTGTCGACTGACTGTGTGACTGCAAGTGTTCAGCCTCTCCCTCGACCCCACTAGGGTCTCCCTACCCCCGCCCCCAAGATCTGTCCTCCCACCCCGGAGCCCAGGACCAGGAGCCTTCTGGGGCAGAGGATGGGGCACTAGGTCGGGGTCAGGGAGGCCTGGGTTCAAATCCCGCGTCAGCTCTGTGTAGTTATCTGGGTGACTCTGTCTCTTTGAGCCTCAGTTTCCTCCTCTGTAAAACAAGGGAGGAGCCCTCGATGGCTGCTCCCAGGTCCCTTCCAGCTCGGGATCTGGCATCCCCAGGTGCCGGACTCTAGGGCCGGGAGCTGTCCCTTCCGCAGGCCGCGGATCCTCCCCGAGAGCTCCGCCTCCCTTGCCCCGGGCCTCTGCGGCCCTGCCTCGGCCGCTCTTACCGGAACAGGCGCCCCCGGGGCCATGGCCTCTTGGTCTCCTCCGGCCTGGAGCACGGAGCACCGAGCTCGGCCCAGCTGTCAGGGGCACCGCG